TACACTACGTTTTGGTGCAACTAAGCAACGAAATGCTGTGAAATAAACAATTAATAGATGATACTAACAATGGCTCTCGAGGTGAAGAATTATCATCACAGCGTGTGTCATCTATAATAAGACTTCTTTCTGTTGTACGCTGACATCGACTTCGATAAAATTTTAATCCTTACTTGAACGATAGGAAGAACAGTTTAGAAGTGATTTAGAGGTATCTAGTGATAATCTAGTGATAGTATCAGTTTTAAGCCCGTTTTTTCCTTCAAGAACACCGGGCTATAAAAGACGACATCGTACTTTAATTGCTACACCGGATTTGCCTGCTATGAACCCCGTAAGAAGCCGAATGTTCTTTTCCAGTGTAAAAAGTCACGTTTGGTGTAAAAAGTCATGTTTGTAATATTGTTCAATGATTTGGTCATTTTATTATCATTTTGGGCACATTATTTTTGTGTCTTGTAATAGTTGTGGCACGTATGATGTTTAAAGGTCTGGTATATATGTTGTGACGTTTTTGATACTGCATGACCTCGTATGTTGTGGCGTTGTGTGATACTGAATGCATCTCGTATGCTCTGACGTTGTGTGTTGTGGTGATACTGAATGCATCTCGAATGTTGTGACGTTGTATGATACTATATAAATGATATGATGAATCGTATGTTATGGTGTTCTATGATGTTCAATGATCTCGTATGTTGTGACGTAAATAATCAATGAACTCGTATGTTGTGTCGTTGTATGATATTGAGTGTTCCGCTGTGGCGTTATATAAGATGATCTGGTATGTTTTGACACGGTGGGATATGGAATAATGATCTAGGGTGCTGTTATCGATGTGACGTGGTGTGACTTTCAAATATTAGGAAATTAAAGCAGCGGAAGTCTCATTTCGTAAATTTTACGGATGATTTACTACAGATCGATGGCTTCAGCCTGCTTTCCACTAACACGTTTTTTATACGCATGCACGTACACCCACGGAAAATTTTGAAGATTGCATATTTCAAAAAGATGACATATTAAAAAATTAGGCTTTTAAGTACGTGTATTCGTTTAAACTTGAAGCAGCCAATACTACAGTTTATTTGGAAACGCGCGTCTCATCTACGAGCTACGACGCGGTCCGCGCGACTCGTTTTTGTCACATACAAACGAATGAAACGATTCAGGCCCCCACACGATGCCAGAAAAATTTGAAAACGCAAGGATATTCTTACGCGTACAGTATTATTGTCGTTGAACCCAATATTGTCGTTGAACCCAATCACCAATCCAGTTGTTATCCATATAGCTATATTATAGTAGTCAATATGTAGCTTATTACAGTATATTACAGTAGCAATATATAGAAAAATAAAACTGGGACCAACAATTACATTACCGACACTCGGTGATTAATGCGGAGTATCAGACTATGGCAATCATTGTAAAAAAATGTCCATTGTATATATCAGCTTGAATGACTCAACAATATACATTTGTTATGGATGAAGTGAAATAATTGGAGTAAAAGCATTTAGCTAGCAAACTCAGTCAAAATGAATCAGGTCAATGCCAAGCAAAAAAAGTATCACATGCGTAAATTAACGGCGCATTTCAAGCTTATAGACAAAGACAAAACAGGCTGCTTAACTCGAGGAGATTTCATTGAAATGGCAGAGAAATTGAAGGGCCTTGCTCAAATGTCGCAACGTGAACAAAACGAGGCAGTCGATAGGGCATTTCAAGCAGTTGCAAATCTTCTCAAGCTTGAAGAAGGCACAAGCTATCCCATTCAAGATCTTGTCAAGGCGTCCAGTGAAATGATATTATCAATGAGTAAAGAAGAGGCGAAAACGGTCACAGATACTGTCCACAACAGAAAAGCAATTTTAGAAGATTGTCGTTACTGACTCATCGAGATGATGTATTTGCGAATCAAAATGACAAAATCCTGTTTGCTGTTTCAATGAGAATAATCATTTCGTTTTTATTCAAGCTATGGGCAACATAAAAGATATTTAGGGATAGTGCATTTTTAAGGGTGCTATAGGAGTATAAATTGTGGTTTTATTGAGGGACGAACTACTACTATTTCTAATAGCAAAAACTAATACAATTTATATAGTAAAATTTAATTGAAAGTAAAATTATTTAATGCATACACATATTAGGATTGTTTTAGTTAAACGTTAATGAAAGTCGTGATTTAATATCGAAAAATATTTTAACTAAAATGATTTCAGTTCAATAAGCAGGCTTATAAACAAAAGCCACAGCCAATCTCTCTGTTTTCCACATCCACACTCTTTCTCCGGTGTTGGTATCGCATTTTTTTTCCATGACATTGTGATGATAATATTTTGGTACACATTTAAGAGAACAATTTTGGCACGTCGCAATGGGTAAATTAATAGGTAGACGTTGCTGGTCAGAGCTGATATTATAGGTCCAGGGACAGTGACCAGCACTTGGGTCACCTGTTGGGGCTGTGTTCTGTGTGCTGGAGGCTTGGAACTTCCTTAACAGAACGTAACGTCTGCGCAAGTCAAGAACGGTAGGACGGTAAGGGCCATAAGGGAAGCAACCAATTGCCTCGGTTTTAGGCGATATGCCCACGTAGACGAAAAGGAGAGTGCAGAGCGAAAGCTATGAAAAATATAAGAATTATGTCATAACTTGTAAACGTACTTAAGATTTTATTCTTGGCAAATTTGTTAACATGTTAACTACTCGCACGCAGTGGCATAGAGACGTATAGAGATTAGTTTGGTCAACTCCAAGATCGGGCCACAAATTTCTGTATATGCGACGATGGAAATTATAAGATAAGGGAAAATATTCATTTCAAACATGGTTTCGTGTGACATGACCTAAATAAACTACCGTCTAACCTTTATACTCGGACTATAATTGAAAGCAATTCGTTTGTAATTCACTAGGCAAATATATCAAAAATATTTATACAACTATATACAACTGATCAGATGAGATACAATTAATGTTGAAATTTACTAACACAATAGTTTAGTTCAAATTAAAACCCACCATCAAATTCATTTCTTGATATTTATGACTTTAGTCTTTATAGATGTTTATTATTGTCACAGTTGAAAGTTTTTCAAAAATATTTGCTTGTCTTTAATATTGTTGTCTTCTCCGTAACTTGTTCTCTGTTGTTTATCATCGAATGACCAGCAAGATCTGGTTCCCCCTTTTTATGTCATCTCTAACAGCGATAAAAATAAACTTTTTCTGTCCCACACGATATAGAATGGGTTATGGAAGTCGCTAAAACCAGTTTGTATAAACATCCGTCTAAGCCTTAATTAAGTGAATATTTGAAAAATTTGAAACCGTTAACAGGAAGTCTCCAAAGATGTATACAAACTGTATGCTTCTTATTATTGAACCACGCCTACGTTCGGGTTGTCTTGTGTGGTGTATAACCAAGCAGTTTTTGTAAAAAGACATATAGCTAGTATAAACCACACAGTTCCATTATGGTTTTGCCCTGCTAACGTTGTGAGGTTGTACAGCGTGTTAAATGAACACAATATGAAGTACAATAAATACAAAGACATTGTACTTATTTAACGGTTATTCTATGCATATATTCAGGGTATTGTGTGTATTTTCCTGGATACAGGTGTCAACCTTGGCACCTTGCGACATTTGTGTGAAATGAGGAAGTCAGGGGCGTAGCGAGGGATTTCCAATTGGGGGAGTAAAAAATCGCACATCTGTACTTTTGGAACGATATAATGGAAATGGGATAAACTGACTTGTCGTTTGAAGAAATCACGATACATGAATCACTGCAGTAAAATTCACACGTATTTTTAATTATCTATACCAGCGGCCGTCCATTGCCAGAACGATGTTTGATGCAACGAAATCAAAAATTACAAACTGCCTTTGTTTAAAAACCGTATTAATTCCGTATCAATTTACCGACCATTTTGAAACTGAAAAAGCTAGAGGTGGTGCTCGGTACGCCCCTGCCGGAAATCGTGCGTTATAATAATTCATTGTACATTCGATTAAATGTAACATCTTTTTTTGATCACCATCATACACATTTGATCCATACTCTGATACTCACGCATCCCGCATTTGATGCATGTCGAACGAAAAAGTGATTATAGCTTAGAACGGTGAATACTAAGTGCTCTATTCCAGCCTATTATTCCAATCTATTATTTTGGTTTAATGCATTTTTTTTCGCGGCAGTGAAAGCAGAAATTATAATGCGGAGTTACAAAATTTCAAGATAGCTCAGTTTATAGAAGAATTGGGGGTGTATATTCATATATTCGTGTTCATATAACCGTTAAAGCAAACGCCAACAAAATATGTGGCCGATATATAATCGCTAACAAACTGATATAATATTAATGTGCACTACACCCACCCCCCCCCCCCCCATCAACTAAGCTTCTAGCGTGGTGACACGTTTAAATGAATTATCAAAATACTTGACTATATTGATTTCAATGAGTATACTAATTTGGTTTTGAAGGGCTTATTGAGTTTTTAGCCAACAATAAAAAGGTAAAGTGCATATATGTATCTTCCCAAAACGTACTAACGAAACTCGTTTAACTGCTGTGTCTTGCTTTTTAACTGCATGTCTCAGTTAAAGTTTCTGGATGATTTTAAGCGTTTTAATTTTAAAATTAGATCCATTTTAAATTGTATGTTGCAGGTCAATTATTGGCCGGATCTGTGATCTGATTGAGCCGGGTACTTATTTGAAGAGCAAATAATGTCTCTGATTCCTTAATATGGGTTTCCGTGTATGCAGGGATATGATATATGTGTACTGGAAAATTGCCTTTTTGCACTTCATGCTTAAAATCTGACTAAGGCATTATAAGGCAGACGATTTAGAAACTCAAAATGAGTCAGGTTAATGCCAAGCAAAAAGAGTATCACATGCGTAAATTAACGGCGCATTTCAAGCTTATAGACAAAGACAATTAACAGGCTGCTTAACTCGAGGCGATTTCATTGAAATGGCAGAGAAATTGAAGGGCCTTGCTCACATGTCGCAACGTGAACAAAACGACGCAGTCGATATGGCATTTCAAACAGTTGCACGAATTCTCAAGCTTGAAGAAGGCACAAGCTATCCCATTCAAGATCTTGTCAAGGCGTCCAGTGAAATGATGTTATCAATGAGCAAAGAAGAGGCGAAAACGGTCACAAATAATGTCCACAATGCTATCTTTGATGTTGTTGATGCCGACGGGGATGCCTTCATTTCCTTACAGGAATACAAGATGTATTTCTATGTTTTGGGTCATGATATTTCTGACGAGGAGATCGTGAAATCTTTCAATACCTTGGATAGCAACAAAGATGAAAGAATCAGTCGTCAGGACTTTTTAGACGCTGCTTTTGATTTTTTCTTTAATGTTGATGAATCGGAAGTTGCCAACGCATTTTTGGGCCATTTATAGAACCTTCCATGTAAATTATGCTGGACTTATGTTTATTAAACAAGAAATGATAGTTTGTGATTGAGCCGGGATCGTGTGTTTATTGTTAACCTTGAAGTGTTTCGATTCACACATTGTCAAACTAAGTCATGAGTCCAATATGAATTGAAATTGACGAGTGAAAATGTCAGGCTATAGAAAGAGGATTGAATAATGATAACAGTGAAGCACGCAATCTGATTGGTTAATAGCCGCGCAGGATGAAACAATCCTCCGCTGAATTTAATTACCTTCCCGCATGAGATTGTACTAAAAATGTTTTAAAACGCTGTTTTACTGTAACAATTTTAGCAATCACCGGGTGGTTCTTCCGTGCAGGAAACCTTTGGAAAGTACACACGGAAAACCATTTGGCATACTGATGGCATTTCTTCCTAATACACACATATGTAATATTCGAAACTTAACATACACTTAATGGTATGCCATATACTGAGCTGATATATATTACAAAATATTACAAAGTTTAAAATCGCCCAAATTAAGGCTCGATTTTAAGTATACTTCAAAGAGCATGCATGCATGTCAAATGATTCGTCTGTCTAAAATGTACATATGTATAAAAGTATTGTCAGTCATTCAGTCATTGATGCCTTTAAATCTTGTTTAAATTTTCGCAAAGGGACTCAATAATTAATAATAATCAATAATTGATTTAGAAAAAAGTGGTGGAGGAAGTAGTAAAACTGAAGGTAACTGCATGAATATTGTTTAACAGAAGAAGATTGTCAAATCAGATTCACCTTAATCGAGAAATTCACCTTGACATTGACTGATTCATCTTTCAATTTTCTGAACTCCCCCAGGAGACAAAGTTTATTAAAATTACCCCCAGTAAGAAATTTATTCCGGTTTTTTAGGGCGGAATCATGCTTACAATAGCGCTGTTACGTGCTGAAATACCTTTAACAGTTTGGTGTTGGTCAAATGTAAAATATGACATTCCAAGCATTCAAACTTTTAGTCTATTTCAAACTCACACTAACGAACGATTTTTCCATTAAAACCATCCTGATTCTCACTACTTTTTTTCTTTCAACTCTTATTCTCATTCAATTCAATTCAGTTCAATTCAATTTATAATAATGGACGGCTTTTTTCACCTTCATAATCTGCCAGTTTATTTAACAATGAGAATTGTTTCATCCGCGCAGACCATGTGACTATATTTGATTTTATAATAATAATAATAATAATTTAATATTTATTACGCGCAAATTTACATTCAAATATGATTTTATAAGACCAGGTCCAATTGTACATGCTTTTGTCTGGGGACTAAAGTGCCTAAAAAACAAAATTTTACACCATCGCGTAAAAAGTACTGCAGTACATCCTTACGATCTTTTAACAATCTGTTTTTCATTGATAACGGAGTATAAGTTTGTTTCAACAATATGACAAGACAACAATTTCTTCTTCTCTCTCCAGTTCCTTTATCGGGAATAAATATTTCCGTTTCAGTTGCTTAAACTTTGCTTTTTTGATAGTTAGACTTCCGTATCTTATTGTAGACTTAAAGTTTAAATTATCATAATTTCTTCCTCTCTCTTTAGTTTCTCTTGCTACCGAGTTAATAATTCCATTAATTACAGCTGCATGCTTAAACCATGGCTTAAACCTAACTTATTTATTTTAATATGCGAGAATAGTTCTCAAATTAATTGATTATAATTATGAATTATATTTAATTTAAAAATTTATAACTGAAGGTTAATCATATCAAACTCTTTCCCTATTGAGATGAACATTTGCTCAAACTAATGTCCAGTTTTTTTCTATTACAAAATGCGCGCCTTGTAAAACAATATGGTGTCTAGACCAAAGCGCACATTATGCAAACCTCAACGTTTTGTCTACGAATTTGCGGTTCGATGTGGAAAAAAATCATTTAAACGGGAGGCGAAAGACAATAACCTCTACGAAGTTGAGATCAAAAAGATTGATCAAGAAAATAAACGTGTTCGTACGCATTTTAAAGGATACGATTCGCGTTTTGATGAATGGCGACCCTATGGGTTATGGCAAAGTTAATATATTTCCCGTTTCTTCAGCATGAAAAGCCTCGTGTTTTGGCCGCCGCATCAATATAGACGATAGAGGCCATAATAACAATAACAATAACAATAAAACCTTTTGAATAAAATTCGCCCTTACACGCGCAGGTAGCCGATGTGAACGATATTAATGTCCCTTATTCCAGCATATTATATGTATAATATATACACAATATATCAATAAGAAAATCATTAATGTGTACTGCAGCAGCGTAGGCTATTGCCGACGCTATTTATTGCGCGCCGACGCAAAATATACACAACTGTGGTATTAAACAGTACTATATTAAAGCATACAAGGTAAAAATATAAAATTCTCTTGCCTGCTTATCTCGTAAGTAAACGTCGGGCCTCCATTCTGATTGTGTTCACATCACCAACAGCAGAGACTGCATTAATGTGTGAACAACATATGCAAATGCCGACCAATGTCGCAAAATACCTACAGTTCATGGCCATCGGTCCGAAGCTAATTCACGTTGAATATGTACGAAATTCATATCAAAATACGCGCCAAAACATGTAAATTTCAATTCCGAATGTAAGGAAAAGAAATATTGTATAGTGGAAGCAGTACGAGGAGTTTTCCCGCAACTTCCGCTCTAAACGGCGATTTTTGACCAATATTCTTATATAGCCCGCAACATTCAACCCCCAAAGTCCGACTCCGGGATACGACGAATCTTTACCAAAAACAATAAAGAATGTGCGGCATAGGTCTAAATTTAATAATCCGTGTGTAAGTGAAAGATAACTTCAGTTTCTAAGGCACACGAACAGAAAAAGCGCTTATTTTGGACGAGTTTGTATTGCGCACTGCTGGGGGTATCCTCGCTTGTAACGCGATATAGACTATTTGTATAGCGAGAGTTTGATATGTCAGGATTACCAATTAGGAAAACTAGACCTTTCTTGGCAGTGTTCTGTTCCATCGATGGGTTAGATGTGTTGTTCGCAAAGCGCCTGTTTGATGTCAGTTTGGTATTTATTTACTTTTCTTTTTTGTAGTCCACGGAATCAGTAAAGCGTTGTATCGTTTTTAAGCTCTTCAGATTAGCGGTACGGACCGATACTTTTTCGCGACATCTAATTGTGAAGGGGTGCTATACCTATAGCACAGAGTTACACATCGTTTTTTAATATAAGACGGTCCCGGAAGTTCAAAACTGACGGCGCCTTTAGGCTACAAAAACGAGTTACGAAAAGTCAGTCGCAACGGTTCACTGAATACTTGTTTCATTTCAAAATTACAAAATTATTCTATGACAACGTTGCTACTTGCTAGTTGCTGCGATATTTGACTCCTACATGCAGTATGATCATATTATGAATATAGATTCCATCTATATTTCTACAAAGTGTATCTTTCATGGTTTGGAATTGGAGTGATGAATATTGTATATTTCAATTGAACGTTTTGCTGGCTGTTTGAGCTCAACTTTAAATGTTGAGTAATTTTAAATGTCAAACAATGTCAGAACTTATTAGCCTGAAAGCAAAAAAGCGCTGTTTGTCGGTATAATTTGTATGTTCAATATAAAGCTTTCTCTCTAATAAAGAAGACAATAGGTCTCGACGTGGGATCACAACACGAAAGCGTGGATGAAATCGTTCATAGTATACACAGGATGTTATATCCTGCAGTATCTAATATGTCCTGATTCTATATTACGTTTCAATCTATAAATATTTTTGTAGCTATATGTCTTGCTATAAATGTCAGGGCTGGAAGACGTATGTCAAAGAGTCAGTCATAGTCCTTCGTATACATATCAAGTATCGAATTGTAATAGCTGAAAACTCAATCTTCGAGGACGAAATTCTAAAAAATCAAGTGGAAAAATGGTGAGTAAAGTAGACTAATCTCATTTTTTCAATAAAAAATTCTAAACAGCAAAAATTAGCTATATTTTTTCATGAATTACATAACAAGCATATGAGTACATTGTATAGACTAACTCTTTTAGTGCCTACACCATTAAGCTATACGAGACTGATCAATTAGAGTGAAAATTTCAGTGTTTGAAATCTTTGAATTGCTCAGTGTTAGAACAACTGACTTTGACTTCTATTTTCTTTTATAGGATCATCAAACATCTTTCTTTTTTACCGTAAGTCTTCTCATATTCATCTATATGACATCGTTCAGTGTTGGTTCACCTGCCTGCCCGCCATCTCGTCAAAAATCTATCTCAGTGGCAACACTGAAGCAAACATATGCATTTGTCAAACCATTTGGAAGCTCAAAAAGACGGCGTTCGCCCCGCCACGTAAGCTGGAATGAGGGCAATAAATGGTGCCCATGGAGATGGGAATCACAAAGTAACACAGGCCGTATTCCGTCGGATATTGTGTATGCAACTTGTCGTAAATGCGACTTGAATGTATGTAAACCTATTGAAATGATCCATCAAGTTTTGACCTGGGCCAAGAATTGTAGCTCAACTACTGGGGACAAATATCGAATTTGGTCATCACTTCGTCTTCCAATTGCGTATATATACACAGGAAATATTTAAACTCTAAACCATATGAAATTTATTAACATTCATACATTACGTACAAACTTATTACTTATAGTTATAATTGACCCGCATGCACCACGATCAATATTTAGAATAATTGATTGTAAAATCAATATTTACATTTTGACAACTATATAACACTGAAATGTATTGCACGTTTGTGAAAACAGTTAACAGTAAATGCATTTTTTATGTCTCATGCAGTATGATTTTCTTAATCGTATTTAAATAACATTTTTTCCTGTGCGAATATTTTTTTCTGCGCGAAATCAGTTTGACAATGGCCATGCATGTTAAGTTTCCTTTGCTCGTCATGAGTGAGCTCCACCACTGCCACCGATGAAATTAAACGAATCAAACACAGTTCAAGCTGAAAATCACCGTTATTGACAGGGTTCGTTAAGTGTGTGTGTGGGAAGGGGGATTGTTTTCATATATTCGCCTTATTAGTTTCTTTTTAAACTGATTTTTTTACGATCTGACATGAATATATGAATATTTGTCCCCCACTTGACGATCTTCCGCGGTCCCTTTAACAAACGATCACATTGTCTTGAAACCAACAATGAAATCAACAATGAAGCCGCATCCAAGACATTTATCCAACCAATTTAATTGTCCACTCAAATGTTACATTTTCATTGAAATTCCAGTTCAAAAACTACTGTTTTTATTTTTTATAAAGTTTTCAAGAAAGAAGAAGTACAACACAAATTTGCCTTTGCAGTCAGAAAACACACCACACGTTTCTGAATTCTTCGTGTCAATCGTATGAATTCAGTTTTGCATGACTGTAGGCTAATCCCACTCTGGGTGTATTGTAAACGAACGCGCAATTGGTCGATGAGGTAATACAAATGTTGCAAACTTGTTCTCAACCTTAGGGTAGTTCGGCTTGCTTGGACGAGGCAACATGGAACGTTTTGGAGCACGAATCTTTGGCAAGCGAGGGACGTTTTCTAAATAAGAACGACTCGATTTGTTCGTGTCAAAGACTTTCTTTCTGCAAAAAAAATAGCTCATGTCATTGTATTTGCATGCATCAAGTATGATTTAATTACCACCACTCGGGGATTACATGGAATCCTAGAAGAAGACTCATTTTTAAACATTCCTACTTAATTTCAAAAATTCTACGGCTTAAAATGAAGCGAGTGACAATGGGAGATACAGTTAATGAGAGGACATCCCATAGTTTATATGAGTTTAAATAGTCACCTACATGCAACTAAGCGTGCAGAGGGAATCTCAAAGCAAACTTGGCTTTATTTGTTAGATCCCATGTAACTGATTATTGAGGTCTCCTACTGCACGCATACTTACTCTGATATATTTTGAAGTTCGTTATTTAAACTTGCTTTGTTACACAAGGCACAAATTCCATCTCTGTGCTTCTGCATGAGAAGATTCGGCGAGTGAATTGGGGCCGAACGAAGTGTATGTTTACGCACGCGTTCCTCGCTTGGCGGCCTGGGACGGTATGCTGGGATATTTGAATTTGATATAGACATTAGCACTTGACCGATTGACAAGAGAAAACGAATTGCTGAGTCGTTATCTAAAATACAAAAAAGAGAACATCCTTGGGTTATTTGTAGGACATTACACTATCTTTCTAAATGTTTCACGCACCTGTTATTCCAGCTCTTTGTAAGACCTGCTCCAGTACTCTAATTGCTTCAGGCGTGATAAAACTATACGAAGGCTTGAAAGGAAAAAAATGACATGATAGTCAGTCAGTTAGCTATGAATTTATATCCGAGTGCCAAGTTATTGTGAAATATTATTTATATAGCAGAAACCATACTCACCAAATCTTGACAATCTTTTTCTCGTGCACCAAGTCCAAAAACTCTCTCTATCTCTTCTTGTTCTTTACATAAAGCAACACAATACTCAATTTTATTAATTTATTAACTGGATTCTCACTATAGTGGATAGGCAAACCTGACGCACGTTTTTAACTTGCAAAAGCGGAAAAATTATATTCAAACAATTTTCAACACTGCAAGCAGCGAAAACTCATTTATATATAGACGCCTTTAACACGTATTGTAGCGTCATAATTATATCTGAGCCTACCTTGAGGTGTAGCCTTTTTTAGCAAGTCAGCGACTAAGGAAATTGCTTCAGGGTTTAATTGAGCCAATGGAAGTTGAAATGTTTCATCCGGTTTTCCAGAAATCTAAGAGAAGAATCAAGTTCAAATCAAAATTGGCCTAAATCAGTTGATGTAAGATCTAAAGCCCAAGCAATTTTTTTCTTGTTGTAACAAGAGATTGGGAAAAGCAAACTTAGTAGATTTTGGCCAACAGCAAGAAGTGATCTATTTACCCTCAATCTTTCAATAAGTTTAAGTGTCTCGTCTTCATTAAGATGCTTGTAAACAGTTGGTGGAGTAATTTTTCGTTCTACAAAGGGCAGAGAATTTTTAAATAAATAATTGATTGTTTCTAGTAAGCTGCATTCACGTCTAACTTTGTTTAACAGATTAATGAAACATCAACATTTTGTTCTTAATCTTTAATTGCATTTTTAATTCATGAGGAGCTGATGTTTTGTGACGCGAAGTGTACATTTAGCTTAGATAAAATACAATACAACATACATTATAAGTACGTCAGTGTTGTATTGAAGATAACCTGGATTGTGCTGGATGCTATAATCTGGATTCTGATGCATGGTTATTAATGGGCGTTATATTATTGTATGTCCGTGTTTTGGATGTTTGTATCATATTTTACAGTATTCAATTCTATACTCTATAGTATTTGCCTTTTTCTACTAACTTGCTCTAGGATCATCTCTTCCTCTGTATTCTTCACTGAAGTTTTGTAAAGTGTTACTGTATTCAGCTGCATATGGTTCAAATGAAGTTTTATTGTTAAGTATCGGTTTTGAAGGAACTCTCCAGTTCATAAAAAACTAAAAACAAAAATGACAGTATGTATTCGTTATTAATTCGGACAGACGCAGGCAAACATGAGTATTAAACTTTCCATCTTGGAAAGTTCTTAAAAGCAACAACTTCTTAAAAGCTTGTCCCAAGATTTCAAATTGGGTAAGGCCGGGCGCATACGTTACGATTTTCGGGTCAGTTAATCTTTCCCACTCCCCCTCAAGAGCCCTCTGGCATTACACCCCCCTGATCGATTGACATGAGTTCATGCAAACTGCGGGAGCTTCTTCTGTCTGTTTTACACGGATGTGTTTCTCAATTTTCATTAATGCTTTTTTTCCAATTCAGTTTCCGCGAATAAGACTGTAAGAGTTAAATGCTTGATTGCAATTATCGTAAATAATTACCTTCGAGGGATGAGGACGGTTCCTCCTTGTAGCTGAACATGGCCTCTTCTCAGAAGGCGTGCCATCTTTTTTTCCATAATCCATGCTATATGAAGTAATCATGGTTTGCACGCCTCCCCAACTCGAGAGTGGAAAAATATTTTTCTTCTTTTCTACAACACTTGCCATCGCCGGGGCATTACCCTCCTCTTTCAGTGGCGGTAAAACACTCGTCATTCTCTGTTAGTTGGAGCTTTATTCTTGTTAAATTCTATTTCATTAGTTTCATTGGCTTCTCTTTTCCAGGATCGTTGAGTTAAAGGTCGTTGTAGACAAAGAGTCGCTAGCAAACGACGGAAGGAGATAATTAATTCCGTATGACGTCACAAAGTAATGAGTTCTTTTCGAATCGCTTACGTGACGTCACCAAATTAGAACCTCAATAAATGAATCGATTTTTCATTCTGAATTTGAATGGCATATTATATCCAATATTATATCGTCCTGATTGTTTAGAAATCAGCATACCAAACTAAATGCAAAATTATGATCGTCAACTTTGTAAAGAATGTGCGTTGTGTTCATTGTGTCCCAATCAGTTTTGATACTGCTAAAATGTTCTGATATTATTAATTAGAAATATCCTAATTTTTATTCGTTAAAAGAAATCGAGGCAGCGGATAACAAGAGGCGATATGAACGGGTAAGCTATTAAAAAAATCTTGCTTTCCGCCACACTCAACCAGTGACGTATTTTTTGCGGGTTTGTGAGCTGAATTGGTGAAATGCTATTGAATATAAGGGTTTCGAACATCAATCGCATGAATTCCATATGAGGTCAGTGATTCTACATGAAAGCTTACATAAAAAACCGACCTTTCTAGGCCAGTTTTCTGAGACCCAAGTCGTTGCATGATAGCAATTAGAAAATGTTGTCATTTAGACCAGTGTCATGGGAGATCATGAGGTTTATATTAGTTCACTGCGTAGTGTGGCGTATATCATGTAGTTTCCTGGGCCCCCCGAGGCTCTGACTCATCAGAGGCGTAGCCAGGATTTTAGGGACGGGGGGAGCAGCAACTGAAATCTAGGTGGGGCTTGGCCAGCAGTGTGACTCGAGACAAGGTTTATGCTAAACATTCTAGGCTTTCAATGTGGCATTATTGATGGACAATTTCCATGGGCAAGTTCACATACAGACTTTTTCTGGTATTAACAGCATAAAAAATTATTCACTTCATTTTCTCAGGAGCTAGTAGCTACGCGTCTGCGACTCGTAAAGACAGCCTAACGATTTTGTCCGGCTATGTATTTTCGCGGTGTCCTAATATAAATCCAAAAGAGAAAAGACATATTGTCTTTTGGATTGTCTTAGACATTACAGGCATAGCGCAAGTGTATGATATTTTTCACGGTAGGCAGCCGGCGTAAAATAGTAAAATGCGAATCGGTAGACTTGCCAGATTCCAAGATGGCGGCCGACGGAGGCGGCGATGATGAGTTGTCCTCCGTTAATATCAACTTTTATAATGTCACTGTAAGTTTGTGATGTCATACTTTACACTTACAAACATGACTGATACATAACTGCTGATTACTTTATAAATTTAGCTTATTACAGTTGGAATTGTGTTTGTTTTTTGCGCGGTATGCTTGGTTGTGTTTCTTATTCGAAAGTATCGGGTGAAAGGTTAGTATATTCAATCCTAGGACGTTGTACTAAATATATGGTATACGAATACAGTAAAACAAGATCGGCTTCGCTGTTTCAGAGGAAATAACTTACCGTAACTACATCTAGTATTCTAGGTGAGCATGCGATTGTTTTGAAAATACGCAGGTAATATTTATTCAATAACTTGCCAAATTCAATTGGTATTTACATAAGGATTATTGTATTCTCTTACCAAAATAACCAATGTATTGTAGGTTGATCATTTATCTTTTCATTTACATATAATATCATCAAAGAAGGTCGTTTAATATCTGTCCAACTGCCTATTTTATAGTATATAAAGCAATGATAGAAAATCTGCATTCTTGATAACCCTTTATTTTGTATCTCGTCATTTACTCCTCTGTGCACTGTTATTTCAACCCTGTATCATAGCTTTGTTGACATATAATATCTGTGCAATACTCATTTTAGAAATTATGATATAAATTATTTGGAAATAGGTCACCCCAGTATGGAAAGTATGTATTGCTGTATTGAAGTACCCTGTACTTTGATTTGACAAAACCTAATAAGAAATAAACCTTTGGTTTAGGAGACAAGTCAACCAGCTCATCTGGACAAGCAAAGCCAAGGTTTAGAAAAAGAGACAAAATGATATTCTATGGAAAGAAGATGCTGAGAAAGGTTTGTTGGAATTGTTGCTTGCAGAAGGGTTTATCAGCTAGTTTAGAGAGTATACAATGATGTACTTGTAGTTTGAATACCTGTGGTAAAATCATCAACAGTAGTTTAAATATTAAAGAGCAAAAACGATACATTTACTCATTGGTATGCATTTAATATATTGATAATATCATATATAGTTGCATTTATTGTATATTCAGTGTGTGCTTGGAATTAAATTGTTGTGTTGATTTTTTAAATTAAATAAACATTAAAACTTGTTGTAAGATTTGCATTTTCATTCATACATACAGTATGTATATATCTGTATTCTTTAACCTCCTATACGGTTCAACTGGTTTTAAATAAATATATATGAGTTTTGCCTTTTTTACTACTCATGTTTTCCCACTTTCTGATTCATGGGTTCATCTTGCAGGACAGGTTCATCTGTCTGCCTGAGGTGGTGTTGATTTCTCAAGAAATCTGCCCTTCCTCCTCTTATGTAGTTCCTTCAAAGAGTCTACCACTTCCACTGTGTTAAACATTTTCAAGGTGTCATATATACCAGATAGAGGTTATATCTGTAGTTTCTTTCCCTATTACTGCTATAATTCCTGCCTTTGCACCCTTCTCTATTGCATCTTCCTATGCCTCAAACCACTTTTTTATGTTCCAACTGTTGAGTACAAATTTCCCAACTTATTCCCAGTTCTGCCTGATCAGGAAGGCTGTAACCTCTGCTTGTTCTCCTGCTGCTGTACTTCTCCTTCCCTCACTTATTATGATATTTTATGTAATGTAAGAAGATCAGTCAGATGAACAGTTCCAAGTCTTATGCATGAACTTTGTTTCAGGTGCGGGACACAAGAGATGACATTTACCGCAAGAGCAGAATAAAGGCACGACAAAAAGTCATGTTGAATTTTGCTAAGCAGTGAGTAATATTCATCTTTCATGATAATAATGAACATGTTTTAATTGAATAATAAAGCTCTGTAAGGCCCTCATGTTTTATATAATGAAGCAATCACTGGTCTGCTCTCGCATTTTTGCTAGTTACTAGCATTGATTAATAATCTCACCAGACCAAAATACTGGGGACATTTTTATCTCTATTCTGAAGAGGCATTCTTCATTAACCCACAAAGGGTAGTTGTGCATCAAGCTATTAGTTCTTAACATCTGGTGTATGAGTATAGTCCTATTGAATTTGAATCTCCGAACGGCATTTCTTGCTGTTTACGACCGATATTCAATCAATCATTCTGTCTCGTTTTACGTGTGAATATCTCTGGAATACTGCATGGAGGCGTGGAGTAATATTGGGTTTAGAAAAATGGTTTTTTAATTCGTTTTCGAAAACAATCGTTTCTAAACGTATCACCAAACAATGACATTGCAGCATTTGGTATTCGCGCAAAGATATTCACCTGAACTGGCCACACACGAAAAGTGAAAGACAAGCTTGGCCTAGGAAATACCGTGTTTAAAAGTCTCGCAGCATTTTCATATACATGAAGTGTAGTAGTTATATTGTACAAAAGGCTTGCATGTTCACAGACATCCATTGATACAGTAGCTATGGTACTCTGCTATCGGTTTTAATTGTTTTCTCCTGTTGATCGTTCGAGAAGATAGTTCTACACAAAGTTTTGTGATTCAATATTTCCATTTGTAGTTTTATGATAATTCGGAATTCTACCTGCTAAAAAATTATGCAAAATAAAATTATAATATTCAAAACATTGAAACAGCCTTACATTGATGGGAGTCTATAATAACAAAACTGTATTTCTCTAAAAAACTAAAGTTAGCGGCAAAATAATGTTTCACATAGATCCAAAAAAACACTAGGTTTTGCAACGAAAAGTTCTGACATAACTAAAAAGCGACGCTAAAATGTATAATATATATATATATTTCGTTCGGGAGTAAATATTTTATAAACCTGCTTGAAAATTCTTTTTGCGCAAGTACCTGTAAGTTCTTAGCACAACTTACAGAAATTTACATTAAGATTGAATTCATGTTGTATACAAGTAATATACACACAACATGAAGCATATATTTCTGCAATTCGCAAAGTTCGACAAGTGAAATGTATCCGTAGTTTGTCGGCTAAAATTATATCTGAAGAGCTATTTTACATATTTTTTTAATGGAACCCGTGCAAGATTTTCTTACACGAATTTTCACTCCTAAAGTCGACTTTAGTTTTGTTTGGAAGGCCTTGGAATGGGTGAAAACTCGCTTATACAGGCAAGCTATTTTCCACTATAAATCTTACATTTGTCTCTGTCTTTTGCTATATATATCACAGGCTAGCTTCAGAAACCATGAGCAAATTGGTTTCTTCTACTACCAAGAAAAGTATCTCGTGTATAACTGAGTACTGCGTGCATTAATAAAGACATTCGGCAGGTTTTTTTAAGCGTTAGGTCCAATACAGTGCAACTATAGGTATATCTACTGCATAGTAGCTAATAATCATTGCAAATCCGTCAGTGCACTATTTATTAAAGCATCGTGTATTTTGACTTGCTGTTGTTATCACGTGTGACTCTCTGTCAAAGTTCTTCGCTTAGTTTGACCAACAAAATAGATTGTAAAATTTTGCCCGGTGGAAATATACAGTAGTAAACTAATTAATCCGTTTAACCATTTAAACCGTTCAACTAATTAAGCCACACCGATCTGATTTATACACACGCCGCTTCCTAAGTTGTGAAATGCCCTATTTTTAGTTAAACGTGTTGCGTTGGAACGTTGGTACAGCAATACCAGTGTTTATATGCTTGTGGAGTTTAATTTGAATATATTTTTGTAGAGTTCTTCACTTACAAGAACAGGAGCCATCACGTGAAGTGAAAGAACCCCCGCCGGCATTTCTCGAAGCAGATTGGAAGGAGGTAATCAGTGCAACCTGTTTTTTTAAAGATTTGTTGAAATTCTGAAAAAACTCTCTCTTTAAATAGTCCGAAGAGGCGGAACAAAGATTACCCTCAGAGGTGGTTTACATGTTGAAAAGTGTCAGGTTAGTTAAAAGCCCAACATGGATTAACATATATTCATCGTTTTAATCTCATTTGTAACAACTGGTGGGGAAATACCTCCCGGAGTTAAGCAAATAATGACTGTGGCATACAATCACAATGTTGTTCTCGAAAATTTTTCAGGGTATTTGGTCATTTCGAGAAGCCGTTATTTATTGAACTTTGTAAACATATCGAGACAAAGTTTCTACCTGCAAATACAGTTTTATCAAGCGAGGGTGTGGTATGTACTCTACTTTGCATCATGCATGATGTAACTGATACAGCATAAATTGGATACAATATTACCTTGAGGCTTCCTTATTAAATAAAATGTTTATGTGACGGTATAATCTTGATGAGTTTCTATTTATTCCGTTCAAGGCTGACAGCAATATTTATGTGGTACAAAGTGGACAACTAGTTGTCTACATCGTTGAAAAGGTAAGACCGCTATAAATTTGTTGGCTGTTTATTTAATTATATCGTTTTTATTTGTCGACCTGAACCAGCTCTTCGATTGCTGATTTCAATTTCTACAATCGATCTCCATAGATCATAATTGAGCCGGGTTTTTTTTGAGAAGACGTACAGTACTATGCTTTATGTTTTCCTCACAGGATGGAACAAAGCTAGCGCTGAAGAACGTTACTCCTGGAAACAGTGTTTTTAGTATGCTGGGAATTTTAGATGTGCTGACGGTATGTTGTGGAATAAACGTTTGTCACTCAACCCAGGAGAGGAATGGCCAGGGACACATATAGGAGTGGAGATCAGTATAGATCCCCACGAGAACCTGTGCTTTTGTCGTGGGTCTAATGCTCAACAATAAAACCTGATGTATTTTTCAGGGAATGTCGCCAACGTATGAACACAAAGTGAGAGTTGTAGCATCTGTTGATTCCTATGTCTTGAAGTAAGTCTGGAAGAAGAATTTCGTTTACACTACCTTCATTATACTTATCGTGAGAGTAATTTTCCTTTTTCTTGTTTTCAAGGTTGCCAAGCAAAGCATTTCAGACTGTATTTGATCATTACCCAGAATCCTTGGTGAGACTAGTACAGGTTAGAAAAGTATTTGCATGTCACAGTTGATCTCGTTATTCACAGAACTACGTGAATTAATGACGCGAATACGCAAACGTTGGTATTCTTTTCTAGTTTTTACTTTTTCATCTCAGGTCATTATGCTTCGCTTGCAACAAGTCACGATGATGGCACTTCATAACTTTCTTGGTTTAACACAAGAATTGATAAACTATGTAAGTACTGATGCTTGCATATTGTGATGTTATCAATATTAATATTTTCCATCTCCACATGTAATTTTCGCTGCTTTTTCAGTGTCATAAATACCAGTATGTGCCCATAACATAAACACTCGTAAATTACATTTGTCCAACGAAATGAAAATAACATTTGTTATTTATTAGAGTTCACTGCATTTGTCTAAATTGTAGCAAAAACTGCAAGTGTAAATGGAACCTAAAACTGATCATTATTTTGTTGTTTAGGATCCAGAGGACATGTCTAAAATGTCGTCAATTCATTCATTCTCAAATGCTAATAAACCATCGACAGTTACGACTTCTGAAAAAGGTTGGCGTATAGAAAAATTGAGTATTTTCACAAAATACAAAACAGCAGACGTCATGAACTTGGAGAAAACAATGATTGTATTTCATTTTGTGCGTGTAGAAAATACCAAAGACACTCCCTCAAAGAATGGTCCAGCACAAGCTGGCAAAAAAGTTCCTCGCAGTGTCAGCGTTGTTGCTAAAGCTGGAAGTTCATTGGCAAAGAGTGCTCCTGTACAGATTCCTGATTCAATGAGACGCAGTTACTCACTGACCTTTTTACGAGAAAAAATGAGCGATGGAGAGATTACTGACGGTTAGTGTTGCTCGTCACCTGTGTGTATTGCAATAATCATAAACAAACAATGAATACAAACTGCCTAAATCTTCCTTCAACAACCAGCAACAAGTTTTTGAGCTCAACAAACTTGTAACAAGTTTTGGTACAAGTCAGAATGCGGTTGCTAACTTGTCAGTAAGCTAAGAACAAACACTCCTAGTTTATAAGTGCTTTTTACAGTATGTGTAATCAAAACTACCTTGCAAGTCTTACCACAAGTCTTCCTGCCTACCTTGTTACCCAGTGCAAAGCATTGATTGATGTACATATATCTTATAATAGTGATTGCTGTATATTCGTGTTTTTTTTTAGAAACGAGTGACTTCGCGGCGGCTTGTGGGCGTGCACGTGCTTTTGCTGACGTGGCATCCAGGCCAAAGTTTGACATGGGCAGTTCAACGTCGCCCGAGCCCAGTCCCAATGCGTTGGATACGAGTAGATTTGACTTCCCTATCCAACAGAAAGATTCTGACACTGACAAACATAGACTGGAAAAAGGTGGTAGTTTTTATGAAGACGAAGTCTTAAAAACAGCAAAGAAAGACATTGCAGCCTTTCTTGGATTAGGGGTATGGCTTTTATACCTACCGCGATATACCTCACATCCATTTCTGTTCATACATGTTCACATCGATTCATTGTAAAGTACAATATTTGAAATCCGTTCTGGTAATTTGTATCTTGTAATTTTGTAATGCTTATCTTTATAGGAAAAGGATGAAAACCTACTTGATGATGTTTTGTGTTCTGCAGTTATGCCAAAAGGCACAATCCTCGTCACCCAGGGAGAATTGGTGAGCATATCTTCAAGTGATCAAATAGGGGCTCTGCCAGCATGTATTTGTTTGGCAAAATATTAGTAAATATAATACATAGATAAACGTTGTTTCCATGTACGCTTCAGGACTGCAGTGTGTACTTCCTTATCAGTGGTTGTCTTCAAGTTTCTCAGAAAGATATGGACGCAACTGGGGAGGTATTTTTGTATATTTTAAAGATTATCATGGTAAACCATAGGATCAATTGTACGAAGTTCCAACAAACTTTCCAGCTTGCAATAATCATAATGAGCATTTTCTTACTTGTCTTGCTTTTAGAATGTGTTGTATGTCACCCATCCTGGTGAATTCGTGGGCAGTTTATCCGTCATAACTGGCGAACCGTCACTCTTTACTATCAAAGCAGTCAAATTTTGTCAGCTTGCTGTGTTGAGTAAAACAGATATTTACAGGTAAGATTGAGTTAACGGACGTATTTGTCACTACAGGATTTGTCAATGCGCTGGACGTATTTGTCACTACAGTAGATGTAGTATGATGTCCAAGTGCTTGACAAGTGAAAACAATCGCACCTAAGCTGCACGCCGGAAATATTTTATTTCATCTTCTCCGCTCATGATGTTTTGTCATGAGTCGTGATGTGTGTGTGTTCTTGTCTGTTCAATATGCTTCAAGTCCTTTAAACATTGCCTTGTTCTCAGACGAAGAAGCATTTTCATTTAGCATGTTGTTGTTGTGATATTTTGCGGGGTGCCTTCTGTGTGAATAATCTAAACCTTTCCTTCGTTCATCAGTATCCTTCTTCAAAGACCTCGTGTCATACTCAATCTGAGTAGCACGCTAACGTCACGATTGACACCGCTGGTCAGAAATATTGACTATGCACTTGACTGGGTTCATATGGAGGCTGGGAGAGCGATATATAGGTAATGTAATGTAAAGAATATTAGCATTAGGTATGATCGGGAATCTCATCCATCGCATGGAGTGACAATATCTGTTATGAAAAGTTATGTTATCCAGGCATTATATCCAGTCACGCTCTTGATGCTGAATGAATTGTTTTTTCCAGGCAAGGAGACGAGTCTGATTGTCTTTATATTGTCCTCAATGGTCGTCTGAGATCTGTTGTTACTCAAAATAAGAAGAAAGAACTAGTTGGTGAACATGGTCGTGGAGAGCTGGTCGGTGTGGTAAGATTTGAAGTTTTCCGTGCTAAAATTCCTTTTCAATAAGAAATCATCTCAGGAATTGCTTATTTCTTTAGGTGGAAGCATTGACGCAGAATCCACGAATGGCAACTGTTCATGCTGTACGGTAAGATCGTTATAATATCTGTCGCATCTGGTCTTTGTTGGATGTTTGCCATATTCGCTCATGGTATTACAATAGTAATCAGGGCTTCCACAAGGAAATTTTCTTCCAAATGGCAACCACGAGGGAGGGAGGGATCTGTGTTAATAGGATATATTATGCATTCTTTTCAAAAGTTCTTTGTTTCTCTCTCTTGTCATTGCCATCCCCCTATCACGACAGCCATATGCAAATAAGTTCTGGAAGTCCTGATAGTAATAGTAATTTTGGCGCGTATGACCCGCAAACTGCGATACAAAAGTGATTTCCAAACCTAACGAAACATTAGGTTGTCTCGCTGGCTGTTCCCCCGAATCACTCAGTTAATTATCATGAAATTTTATTGGGCAAAATAGTTGAGCCTATTTCTCACTTTAGTGATACTGAAGTTGCTATTCTTCCTGACGGTTTATTGAATGTAATTAAACATACATACCCCCAGGTGAGTTTAAAAAGGAGTTCCAGAGTAAACAGAGATTGAATGTGGTATTATAGAACGACAGACCAAAGCTGCCTCTCAAAACTGTTGTAATGCGTGCTTTAGTCGTATGGCAATTAGCCATTTCCCCATCGAGCAGGGTACTGGGTCTAGTCGCGAACCGCAAAGCATCTGTGGACTGTTTGGAGGGACAAATGATTTCAGACTTACATTTCCTGTCCCTCCAAACAGTCCATAGATGCTTTGCGGTTTGCGACTAGACCCAGTACCCTGCTCGATTGGGAAATGGCTAATAAACCACAGGGGCATTTTGTACATTTCGAGAATTTCAATTTGCTTTATTAGGTTGTCAGCCGTCTCATTCATTTGTTGGGAGAAAGAATTCTCAGCCCTATGAAGGCAATGCAGCCAGGTCAGTTTATTTCAAACCAAGGTTATGGATCCTGAGCTATTCTTGAGTAGAACAACATACAAGGAAAGATGCATTTTGGATAACATCATCTACTTCAACTATACGAACTGCTTTTTATCGATCTTGGGAAAAGCCGAAGCCCCGGAGAAACCGCAATTTTAATCGTTTAAACTCTTATCTGTGACGCATAGTAAATTCTTCCGTATCTTAGATCATTCGGGTGACGCAAGTGAAGTGGGGACGAATTTGGGAACAATAGCCATTGTTCAGGCTTCCGACGATGTTCCATTAAATAATTTTGCATTTGAGCTTAGTCTGGCGCTCAACAGCATAGGTATTGTTTATTGATGATTTGTCTGTTTTGAATTGTTAAAATCTGACATTTTTAAAGTTATGACTGACATCAAGGATTCTGTTTTTAAAGGACCTACGTTGCTTCTTACAAGCTTTCTTGTGCAAAGTAAACTCGGGACATCAGCGCTGGACAGGTAAGAGCGGTGGCTCAGTATTTTACACATGGCGCCTGCATGGATTTCCCCATCAATTAAAAACTATTCCCCTCGAGGTCTAACTCTACAATTGCGATGCTCCTGGAAAGACTTACAAGAATACACTGATAAGACTTAGAGAAATAAACTAACCCTCCTTAGACTGAATGTAGTAATAGTAGCTACCAATTCCAGTTCCTAAAGTAATTTTCAAGTCTAACTACCAAAAGCTTATATTAATGATGTTTTGTGTTAGTTATCGTATACAAGCAACTTAATTCATCTATGATTTGTATCTTTAAAGTATGCATGAATATCGTCTATCAAGTTGGTTGGGTCAACAAGAAGATCTTCACCGTTTGGTAGTTTATCAAGCAGATCATTATATGTCGGCATGGACCAAGAGATGTATACGACAGGTAAGGTCTACGTATATAAACTGACTTTGTAGTCGTTCCATTGATCATGTTCTGATGCAAATATGTTACTATACCTGTATTGATTAGTTCAATCAACACTGGAGGTGCACATGTTACTGTATGTCAGTCCACAGGCAATATTTGATGAAAAAATCAATCCATTTTTATTTTTCTGACAGGCTGATTTAATTCTTATTGTTGCTTTGGGTGACAAAGAACCTCATGTTGGCCAGGTTGTTTTTTATTGTATATTTAAGAGTTGGTAGTAATAAAGTGAATTTTAGTGTTGAACCTCTTGAATGAAGAGTCTTGCCCTTTAAGCAAGCATCTGTGTCTTCTCGTTTCATTTTGCTTCTCGATCGTTTCATCAAAGATGGAAAATTGAAGCTATATAGACTCCTTTTGCTAACGGGCATGACTATTGAAGGAAAAAGTGCTTGAATGTCGTCTTGTTTTTCAGCTGGAGATGCAGATGGAAAATATGCAGGTTCGAGCCCAGAAGGAGCTGGTGTTGTTGCATCGAGCATTGCATAAGAAAAGAATAACCAGAACTGTAGAATGGTTGAACGCCAGAGGCTGGATCTCCGCTCACCATCACGTAAGTGTCTCCTTTGTTTTTTCTCTTATTTTTTATATGTTAAAAAATATGTTAAAGTTCGTTGATTCTCGTTAGATTCGCTGTCCAAGGAAAGTATTGAGCAGGAAATCCTTGGTAGAAAAGGTAATAAAAAAGAATGTAGTGTGTAAAAAGAATATAGGTTCTTTTGAACTGATATTTCTAGAACTAACGCGTGAAAGCCATCTTGGGCGAAATTTGAAGCAGGTTATCAATGCGTCACTAAAAACGTTTCTTCCGTTATCTGTTCAACCCAAAATAATAACTGGAATGATTTTAAAATTTTTAGTACCTTCACAATCCTGACAATTACGAGATTCCTGGTCGGTATGTTTCTTCAGATTCGTTTCAGCATTTATTTAAGGATGAATCTCGACACAGTCACCTGCCCTAGTTCTTGTGGCATTGTGCCCAAAAGATAAGCTTATTCCATCTAAACTCCTATGTTATTCCTTATCCTTTCTTCACTCACCGTTGTTTTTCATTCTATTCAATTTTCAGTCATTCAGATTTCGCTAGGCTTGCTCGTCGTCTGACAGGAACCTCGATAGGATTAGTACTTGGAGGAGGTGGAGCAAGGTATACAAAATTTTACGTTATTGATGAAATCGTGTTGCAGATTACGCCTGAGCAAAAAATAGCAAAACTACGTATCAATCTCTTACTTAGAGGGATATCACATGTAGGAATAATACAAGCTCTTCACGAACAAGGTTAGTTGATCTCTGTTTTCATATTTTACTTTCTCAGCCTCTTTATACAATACACTCCATTCTTAGCTATACCCATTCCCCTTCCTGAACATGTTCATACTGTGTGCTCCACTTCACTCCATTCCCTTACTACTAACCTCAACCTCTTCATACTGTGTAACCAACTTCTACCCACTCCCTTAGACCCTTAGACCCTTACTGCTTCCCCCTCGAGCTCTTCTTACGTGGTTTCCCCTGCGTCTCAATCTTTATATAATGAGCGTTTCCTCGACGCCATTTGCTTCAACATCCTCACAAACTGTAGCTTGCCTTCTTCACTCTTTCCATCTGCCACCTAGGAATACCAATTGATATGGTGGCTGGTACTAGCATTGGAGCATTTGTGGGAGCTGTGTATGCTACTGAGGCTGACCCAGACAAAACTGTAGCGAAATGTAGAGAATGGTCGATGGTAAATATTTTATGATATTTACAAATGTTGATATTGAAGAAATGGACAATTTTCGGCATACTATAAAGGTAATGATGTGATATAATGTCATGATATAATGTCATCATTTATTTCAGGGAATGACATCGACTTTTAAAATGGTGTTGGAGCTGACGTATCCATTTACTTCGTTTTTCTCAGGTACAATACTGATTGATACTCATCGGTACTCCGGAAGAGTCTTACATATTTGTGGAATATTAAACTGAAAAGTTCTTCACATTGGTATATTAACTATATTTACAAAAGGTGTATATTCTTTTTAGGGAATGGTTTTAATGCTAGTATAAGAAGCGTTTTTGGAGAAAAACAAATCGAGGTACAGTCTCCAAGTAACCATGCGATTCTCATACTTGTTTGTCGTATAGCGAGTAATTACGACATAATTTCTTCAACTTTCAGGATTTATTAATACCATACTTCAATATAACCACTGATATTACGTCATCATGTATGCGAGTTCACTCGAATGGTAAGTAAAACAAGGAAACCTAGCATATACTGAATAATGTAAACTTCAAAATACATTTATTTAAATAAGTACATAAGTACAATAAGTACAAGTACATTTAAATAAATTAACATTGATGATTTTCAAATTTCAAATGATTTTAATCGAATGAATGATAATAGGTGCTGCTACGTCATGTGGTTGTTCCATTGTCATGTGATTCTCGCGTGATAAACCATTGAAAGATTCATATATAATCAACGTGATTGATCCCTTTCAAAATGAAATTTTGATATATACTGCGAACGTACACCATCATCCCATATATATTGTCCCCTTTTACAGGTAGTTTATGGCGTTATGTTCGTGCGAGTATGTCCCTTGCCGGATATATGCCACCCCTATGCGATCCTATAGATGGTCACATGTTACTGGATGGTGGATATTGTAATAATCTCCCAGGTAATAACTCGATATTATTATTGTGTAGGCAGTTTATGGCGCTACGTGAGAGCGAGCATGTCCATTTCCGGTGTACTCCCTCCCATGTGTGACCCTAGTGATGGCCATCTTCTTGTCGATGGCGCCTACGTCAATAATTTGCCAGGTAATGTCACTGACCTGAAAACTACAACTGGATTGTGGCAATGCATAAATAAGGCCAACGTGAGAAATAATTTGACATTAAACCTGGAATAATAGACATTTACAACGGTATAGAACGGTTTCTTCTTCTCAGGGCAACCACGAACGGAACGGAATTTTTACACGAGCTATAGACATATGAAACGAACCACTTTCTTCATTATTTTCCTTGATTATCTTGATCAGACTGATCCTCTTTCCATCGCTTAAAAAAATGGAAACATGTTTTATTGGTTCAATATTTATAAATGTTTAGAGAATCTTATTATTGAATATATGATGCACGTCATTGTGACTATACTGTTGGCTTTATTTACGCATAGTTCTGAAATGACAGTCCTAGTTTTGAGATCAATATTGCACCCACACAAAATTCCGCACCCGCACAATAGAATATTAGTGATAAATCCCGCACAAAAAAATACACCGCGGTGTGTAGAATGGATCACAGAACAACAAATATCTGAGATGAAAGCAATACATCTTCGCATGGCACGGCTGATAAAAAAGAACGAAGAGATTATGTGTCTACAATAGTTCAACTAAGTTTTTTTGGGAGATCTGCTCACTTGACTGAGAAAGTAAAACAAGATTTGTTTCTCTGCCATGATCACCGTGTGATAAATAGAGAATATTAATACATGGATGCGCAGAAATATGGAATTTATTTCGAGTGTTGAGAATGATATCGAACGAGTGAGCGGTGTTTCTGGGGGGGGGGCGGATTGTGTTTGCGTTTCCACTTCCAGGGTTTGTTGCGTCTTCGGTGGCAAGTCTTGCTGAAAATCTCAGGTATTGCCGTAATGGTGGATATGACTGGTCCAGAAATCACACGAGATTGCAACAACAGATGATTCAACAACAGATGAATCCAAAACAAAAATGATTCAAAGGCATATGTTTCAAGAATATCTGCATTTTATATTTCGGCCGTTAGCGCGTTCTGTGCGTAGAAGGGTTATGCATCGTATGTTCTCTGCAGTCTTTATGTTTCTGAATTCAATTGACCGATAAAAAATTCACCAAATTAGCACGTGATGAAATAATTTTCCAGTAGAACTGCATGTACGTTGTCAGGTGCCAAAATGGCCAAGTTATCGCTTCCCGACGGTCCAGTCACTGCACTCGCAGTGTTCTTAACATAAACAAGAAACAACATTCCGAATATGATCTCTTTTTACAGCTGATGTGATGAAGTCAAAGGGAGCCAATACTATAATTGCCGTTGACGTGGGCTCAGAGTATCCAGCGGAGTTAACCAATTATGGTGATCATCTCTCGGGATGGTGGTTGTTGTGGAATAAGTGGAATCCTTTCAGTGAGAAAATTTATGTAAGTTGTGGTCTTGTGTTGGTTGTGTGTTGCTATGGTGTGTTATGATGTGGTATGGTGTGGTATGGTATGGTAGCTATGTTGTGGTATGGCGTGGTATGGTGTTGTATGACGTGGTAATTGGTAGTTAGTAATTGCTTCTTCTGATCTCGCACGTAGATTCCAAACATGGCGGAGATTCAAAGTCGCTTGGCGTACATATCATGTATTCGACAGTTGGAAGACTTGAAGGAAAACAAATATTGTGAATATCTCAGACCACCTATAAACAGGTAACGGAATACAACGTTAATTAACATGTTTGATTTGCATCATGGATTTGCATGATTTGCATTTAGGAAATATTTTAAGATCCTCAAAAAGGTGTCGAGGAAAATTTGACTGTTTAATATACGAGATGCTATTCATCCTTGACCGTCACTCTAAATTGAACACACAGTCTGACTCTATTAAATCACAAAAGTCTTTGTGTGACTTTGTATGTGTGTAATCATAACAATACCTATTCTATTTTCTGATCTTGTTTAAGTAATGTAATTCACCATTTATTTTAGTTTATTAACCCTTGATAATAGAGACTCCGAAACGTCGGATATTAGCGTTATGTTTACTTCTCATATGATTTGTGAATATTCCTATTTTTTATATAGATATCACACGTTAGAATTTGGCAAGTTCAATGAAATTTTGGTAGGTTGATACCGCAACTAAAATGAGAAAATATGTATAAACACGGAGGGAATGGTTTATATATGATGTATATATAAAGCTTCACAATACTATTTTTGTTACAGAAAATAGGTTTTGATTATGGTCAAGAGATATTTCAGGAGTGGGCAAAAAACAAGAAATCTGATATATTTCCTGATCTTGCCCCTGTTAGTTCTACAACTCGTCCTGAGGTACATTGGAATATTTTCGTTAAGGCGTCTCACTGAATTAATGAATTAAGGCAAAAGGTTCAAATAATTTGGAATTTTCGAGCTAAACATATCGAGCTGAATATTTACTGCTTTACGACCTAAACAATGAACAGCTCGAAACAGTTCAATTTATATTCTGACAAGCCATATATATATATATATATATATATATATATATATATATATATATATATATATATATATATATATATATATATATATATTATACTTCACATTGGCATTGGTTCTACTATTAATTTCAAGCCCCGTTTAGCTAATTACAAGTCCCACATTAAACATGGTCGTAGAACATGTGGTGTAGTTAACCATTTTATTGATAAGCATGACAATAAGCATTTGAAATTGAAGTTTATGTTGATTGATCAAAACAAAGAGGATTTAAGAAAGTGTGAGAACTTTTGGATAGGAATGTTACTGACTAATTTGGGTGGTTTGAATAGCACTCATGACTTTTCTCAACAATAGGCTATAATTTGTATTATGTATTATGCATGTTCTTCTCCTTATATATTGGACTTATTTGTATTAGTTAGTTAATTTCTGAAGAAGGCTGCGGCATGTGGCCGAAAATTTAAGCTTAGTATATTTTTAATAAAATCTTTTAGTTTTACTTCTGGCCGTGGTAGTTACAATTGTTTCCTATATGTCTTTGCTACCGAGCAGTGTGGGAATACTTGTTGGTTATATATATATATATATATATATATAATACTGCTTGAGTGAATGAAAGTGTAATTAAATTCTTTTCTGAACACTGGGCTGAAAAACTAACAAAACGACGCTGTATAAAAAAAATTTTATAACCATCTTTTTACAAGAGGTTTAAAAGGTCTTAATTTCGAGTGGAATTATAAACCTCTAGAATTTACCTGCATCGAGTGAAGTGCCAACAACCATTTACAACCATTTACATTTTAACCATTTACAACCATTTTAGCTTCACGAGAAACGCCCAATCAGCAACGTAAAATCGATCTCGGACTTCGCAAGGCTTGTCTCGCGGGTCGAGAACCCGCACAACCCCCTTAAATTCATAACTGCATTACCTGAGGGTTACGAGACCTCTGACGAGGAAGACGGCGGCGCGGTTAGTGAACCTCATCGCACAGGATCACTGGGGGACCATGAGGGGCGTCTAGGCGGGGATGACGGGGAACATTTTGGGACGGCGTTTTCTAGTACGGACGAGGCGGAATACGAGGTTAGTTACAGTACATGGTTTTATTAGGGTCGTTGATGACAATAATCAATATCCTTCAATACCCTCTAGAACGATTAGTTGAACTGTTGAAGTCTGATAGGGCTATTCAGATGAAATGATGTAGCTAGTTTTATAGTCGCGTCACTGCTCTTTAGACTCCTCTAGGAAGGAGAGATTAGAGTCCTATCCTGGTGTGAATAAGTTTTAAAATTTGATCAAAAACAGTTAATAACAGATAGGGAATCCATCATTAGTAAAGAAGTTTAGTTTATTTTGTTCAAAATATTTTCTACTGTTCTTTTAGTCTGATGATTTGCATATTCGACGAAGAAACGGCAGTAAAATTTTTCGATTGAGTAGTTCGGAACTTCCTGAATAATTGTAATTATTAAATAAATGACAAACTACGGATCATAATAGAGTATATATATTTTGAAAAATTATCATATTTCGAAACTGTGTGATGTATATTTTATAATAAGATCTTTTATTACTGTGTCAAACAAGTTAGTGTATATGGCAGAAACACTATTCAAATACCTCAGTAAGCCAATTCCCAAATGCCTGGATCTAGTAGCGCAAATCCATTGTTTGGAGAAGTAGGGTTTATTAAAATAGAGATTTTATATTTTCGGTTGAGTGTGTACTTTTAATCTCTCGTACTGTATAGCTATATGCCTGCTATATGTCATTTTTTAACCCTTCAAACAATCCAAAAGTGCACTTCGATCATTTGGGAAATGGCTAATTGTCGGATTGAAGCGCTCACTCTTTTGAGTCTCTACTGTTCTCGTTGTAAGTAGTTCACGTTAGATCAATATTGGACCATCAAAAATGTAGGTTATCCAAATCATGGGCCGGTTGTTCAAAAGCTGGTTAGCTTAACCCTGGGTGAAAGCAAATCTTTACATTAATTTTTTTAGTCGCTTGTTTACAAAGTTGAATATTTTTTTCATAAATATTTTCTGCTCCGATAGAAAAAATATTTTCGAAAGTTTTAAAACGAACAGTATTTCAGAAGCACATAAACTAAAACCGGTTTAACATTTAACCCAGGGTTAGCGCTAACTTATAGCTTTGAACAACTGCCAACTGGCCCCATAAGTTCACGTCATTGGTTAACCAAAGACGTTCTAAGAATCAATAATCTCATGAAATATCACATGCGGTATAATCTCATTTTTCATTGCGTCACGTTTGTATCTTTGATGTTGAAATGTTAATGACACACTTTTTTAGCGTGCGTAATGCTGTTCATTATTGTTTATAATTAGTTTAAACCAGTTTTCTGTGGAATTGTACATGATGATTTGAAGCTAGAATATTGGACAAAATATACCACGAGAGAGACGAGTTTTCTTTTGACAATCTTTGACAAAATCAAAATTTTGTAGATTCTTTTGGAGTGATTTGCTCCATGGAACCACGGTGGTAGGATTACTCAAGAATAATTGATCTTTAATTTTTCCCACTGGGCGTCCAATAAATAAGAAATCTCCTTGCTGCAATTCATCTTGAAAATTTAGATCTGGAATATATAATATAGCATTCTGTTACCTTATTATGGCATGGTAATGTATAAAAAACAACCTTACGTTTTCTAAACCATCCTAACAATAGGTATGTAGAGCTTATCAGTTATATAAGCTCTACGCTACACCTTTTCCTATATTTCCTAATATTTTGGGTCAGTCATGCTAGAAACCGATTTTATGTATCTCAACTATATAAACATCAATATCCTGTTTCCTCTTTTCACTCTTACCTAATCTAATAAAGCTTGAATAAAGTTTCTTTATCTTTAATTTTTTCACACTGATGATCTTTTTCAAGATATCCAAGCCTCTAAGGACAGTGTCCTCCGGAATGAAAATAGTTTGATGTAGAACTTGCTTGCAGCCTTTCTGAGGATTCTGGGCGTAGGCAGTTGCCAATGTGTTTTGAACAAGTTGTCTCATCGGTGATGTTGTTGTTGCCAGGGTTTGTGTCGTTCCTGTTGTTGCTGCACGTTTCAGGGGAGTGTTGGTTGAAGGTACAATTGCCTTCAAGGTTGGACTAGCGCATACTTTTTTTGCTCTAGATACCACTTGAAATTTGAAAACTATAAAATAATTGCAATCAATCATCTGCCTCCTCTATACACTCTTAGTCCGCATTCAGTGCACTATTGGATAATAAAGATCAGTGGAGACGATGCGTGATGGTTGATATTTGTAAGGTTAGAGTCAGGTTTAGGGATTAGAGGAGTTAGGATTATATTTGTGAATTCTGGATACGGAATTACTACCTGCGAAACAGCATGAGATTTCATTTACTGCCATTGGTTGCTAGACTAAATACGTCAAAGCCCCAAAGGCCAAGGCAAACTATTTCATGTTTTTGGCAATACACGGACATATGCATCACATTCTCTCACTGTTTAATATTTTAGTTATACTTTCTAGTTCCGTGATCCCTAAACCACCGGAAATTTTCACAAATTTCGACTTCCTCTTCCAAAGTGTATTGTTTTTTTTTATATGACGTCAGCCTAGGAGATAATCGGATAATATTGCCACTAACGCTTCTTACCTCTACGGGTTGGGGTTAAGGCTGTTTTTTTATGCAGAAACACGGAAAAGTTCATCATTCACTGCCAATTTTCAATTCAGATTAATTCATGATCGTATTGTTTAATCACGTATGATAAAATGTGTATTTGATCTAGTGTTCAACACTAGATCAAATACACATTTTATCATACGTGATTAAACAATACGGCAGTTCCCCCAGAACACTGTGTATTTGCTTATTCAAACGGGTAGAAGGAGACCTACGAATTAACTGAAGTGCGCGAGAATAGGATAGCCCAAATTATTAACCCTAAAGGATTAGATTAAGGATTATATTCGTGGATTCTGGTCATGTAACTTGACCGTTTCTAACTGACTGAGGCGCCAAGGTTAAGCTAGGATAGACGGCAAATTATCAACAACAGTAATAAGATCTAGATGTCTGGAAAAGTTCTAGAAATTATGCCAATGACGGTATACCGAAATTATGCCAGTGCCAACAAACACAGCAACAAATCAATCGGGTATAGTCATAATATTGATTTGCACAAAATCACGAATTTTCATTCTCTTTCCATGAGGAGATACGGCTCATACTGCATTACTGCATAAGTCTGAAAGCCCTCAAACACGTCTACTATTGAAGAGTTTTTAAGTCACAGTATTTATATGATTATAAAGACAATTTATCCGCTTTGAGTTCTTAGTAAACATCCCTGCATAAGCAACAAGCAAAGATTGACAAATACCCGTCCCTCCTCTGTGTATAAATAGTACCACTATATAGGTGTATGTGTTACTTATTCACCTACCAAATTGAGCTCTGCATAGTCGTTTCTTCAGACTGTCACAACGAATGCTGCCGTGAGATAATTTTGATATTGCTAAAAGCAAAATTGTCTTAACCAAAATTCCAAACATCATCGATGACACTGTCCGGCACAGTCTTGATAATACCGCACTGATCTGAATCTTAGCAGTATAATAAATGATTGAATATTTTCCACTTTTAAGCTCCTCGCACCACAACGAATTGTGCCCAAATAATACTAAATGTTCATAAACACGGTCTTAAAAACTGTGGGTAGAAAATGGTTTAGGAGGGACCGGATGTCCTGTTTATACGTAGTTAAAGATGTACCCTTGTTTGGTAAATTGTTTTGAACGCGTGCATGTCCACTTCACTTACGTATAAAGAAGCACGTAAAAACGTTCAAGCACAGATCGGCAAAAATTAGTATTCAAGATGAATCGGCATTGCTTGTTCCCAGAGGCGTTGATGGAAGTGGGCCCTGGGACAAAATTCGACAAGTCTCGGGGGGTTAAAGGGGTAGAGCAAACTTGCGAGGCGCAACTATATCTTGTTATGTGACGTCTACAAAGTTGATAACCTTTATTAAACGGTAGTATTATTATTATTTTTCCGTATTATGCTAGTACAAACATTAAAAAACTTCAACATTTATCACTATACAGCTGATCTAATCACATCGTTCACCATTCGATCTGAAATATTTCTTTAATTTCCAGGCCTTTGGTTTCCACTTGACGACTGTGAGTTCATCAGCCATGAACACGTAATCATCGGGGTGTTCACCAGGAACTTCTCTTCCCATGAAAAAATAGTTCCTGTTTTCCTTTTTCCCCTTGTAGCCCATTTCTGAATGAAACAAGAAAATCATGCTAATTAATGCAAAAATCTTTGATAGAATTTGACATTCAGCTTTCAAGTGACTTAATCCCACTATAGTATAGTTAGCTCCTCTCAAATGCAAACATTCGTCATAAAACAGAAAGATACGCCAGGTCTACAATTTCACATAACGATCGATACAATATACTATAGTATACTACTTTTCCTGGAATCAGTTGTTCAACTTACGCAATCTGACAGCTGACTTCAAATATATTGGATTCATTTTTTCAACTCGATTCATTTTATTAATCTCCTTGCATCCTTTGTAAATGTGTTTTCTTCCAATGCGAATCCTTTGGTAGCGTATCAGATAATCACAACTACGCTTTCTGCGCCCCTGTCCCACGCTTTCTGTAGAATTTACCCGGTTTTCGGTATTATCTGCTGGCATTGAGCTAAAAACATTGCCTTGATTTGGGGTTACCGTGCTGGCAGGCACGTAGACTGTAGTTGAAAAGACATTATGATTCTGACTTTCTGTGTGTGACTTCGTCTTTAGATTTGTTATTTTCACGTCAACAGTTGCAACTTCCAATGCGGTTGGTTTCGCTGTTTTTCCCGAGAGCTTATTGCTTATATCAAGCGTTGGCTTTGATGATATTTCATTGATAATGGGAGTTTGACGATGATCTGAACTGTTTGACGTTTTTTGAGTTGTTTCCTTCGCAAAGGCTGTTGTTGGTGTAGGGGCTGTGGAAGAGTCCGTTGTCTTTACTGTCGTTGTTGAGACGGTGGCATCGAAGCACTCTTCAACTGTTTCAGATATTACGCGAAACTTGAATGCTGGAGATATAAATTAATGAAAGTTCACAATGCATTCCCTAGCTTGTATTGCACAAGAGTATAAGATTTGATGTCGGCATGATACGGACACGTCCTGTTTAGCATCAGCCCACTACATTCACTACACAACACACCGTATTAACTGTGAAATTGGGAAGCAGATGGTGCATGGTAAGATCAAAATTCTTTCGTGCACACAATATTTAATAAAGCCGGATGATCCTAGTGCGTGATGTATAGAACTAGAAGTCGTAAATTAAACACTCGCATTTCGGTATCAGCTCAGCTGGCTCGTTGTTAAACACAAATGATCGGAAGTGCGAAAATTACGATACGAAATTATACCATGGTGCGTGTAACTATGATTATAAACATTTCATACAAAGGAATAGTCAGCGAATAGACCGTTTAACAACTTGCCTTTGGTTCATGTCGGGGTGCCACAAATCTATGGTGATTAATCTATTCCCCCCAAAAATGCACCACACTACACTGGCTACAGTCTAAAGCGGTTATTTTGTTAGAATGGTTTGTCACAGACATTCCGCATTATCAAGCCATCACAGACTGATTCATGAGTAATTCAAGAGATGGGTTTATTTCAGACTCGGAGTCGCGCTAGTACGCTAGTGACCTACCATATTTAGCCCTTCTAAATCGCTCCTTTATCGTGGCTGGTTCCACGGAACGACCAAAACACCAGTCGTTAAATGAAAGAAGTATCAATACACTGAAAACCTTCATGAGTGAAATTGAATCTTCTTCTTGACGAATGAACAATAACAACTAACAAGTAAGTCCGTTTAGCGAAATGAATAACCAATGATGGCACTGAACTCAAATCTTCTCGATATATCGATTCAACCTATAGGTTGTAATACGTGCTGTTATGTAGCTAAATCCAATAACTTGCTTCTGTGTTTTGTTTTCGCCCAAAATGTTTTATTCCAGACCTCACTCCAATCTCTCAGCTAATTTTTAATTGAACGGCAGTCAGCACATTGTCAAAACTGTGAGAGTGTTGAAGGTCGCTCACTTGGAGAAACAACGGGGTTTTTATTCTGGAGAACACAAAACCGATGTTGTTTCAACAAGTTCATTGTTGTCCTAAAGAGCGCGCAAAATGCAAAATTAATTTTTGGTAATTTCTACCTCTTTATTATTAGTTGAATTTCAAATCATAGCATTAGCATTGTGCTGTGCGTCTATGGAAATAGGATAGATTTAAACAAAGAGATGAATCTCATTATACAAGTGGGGCACACTGACTGTTCGCGTTTTCTGGCGCCTAAGTTGCACATGACGCTTCCAAATGAATAAGCACGGGCACTACCTCCAAGAACGACCTGAACGGGTAGTACTCAACAAGGGCACTGTGTTTTATGAACCTGTTTTTTACTTTCACCCATTTTTGTAGTCCAGTTGGAAATCGATCAGTAGTGACCCAGAGGCCCTAGCGAGTTCGAAATGGACTCTTTCAGTCTTTCGCATCCGGAAAATGAACTGAATCTTCTAAGTTTTCTCTTTACCTCATAGAAATTTTGTGTGTATTCTCCCCTGTTTGTAAAGATGGTCAAAGAAACAGCTCTGTACGGTAGGAAATCACGAAAACTATTGATTCATACAGTTATAAATTTTAGTGTTGTTTTTTAAGACAGTCTATAATCGTGTTTTCTACGTCTTTTAAAATCACATCAATTACATCATGTACACGTGCCAGTTTATTTTAAGCTTGTAAATTTAATGTTCTGTAGATACTTTGGAAGTTCCTCCAACAGCAACCCCAGAGCAGTTGAAGAAAGCATATCGTAAACTGGCCATGAAGTATCATCCTGATAAAAATCCAAATGAAGGAGAGAGGGTATGATCTATGAAATATGTCAATTAAATTTTATTATGCTGAATGACATAAAATGCCTTAGGAATATTTCAGCCTTAATATCTGTGTTGTGTCCTCGATAAATTAGTACAAAGATATTATATTGTTCTTTTTTATTAGCAAAGAATATTTCAATTAGTATGCACATAGTAACTATTCTTCAGATACTTTCTATGGTTTGTATTAATTGACATGACTTCACTAGCATCACACACCTGTGTCTAACAAGCATAAGACCTATTTAAAAGTTTATTTTTTCAGTTTAAGTCAATCTCTCATGCTTATGAAGTCCTGTCAGATGAAAAGAAAAGAAAGCTTTATGATCAGGGTGGTGAACAAGCATTAAAAGAGGGAGCTTCTGGTGGTGGATTTCACAACCCTATGGATATATTTGACATGTTCTTTGGTACAAGATCACATGGGAAGGAACGAGATGTTGGCAGAGATATGGTGCATCAACTAAAGGTAAACTGGGGAATTATGGATGTTACTGGCAGCATTAAATATAATTTACATACAGTAGTATAAACCTGCAAAGTTTTGTTTACAAATAAGACTATGATTTTTAGTTTTCTTCTTGATTTTAGTTAGCAATTTCCTTAGATTGATTGGATGTTCCTTATTCTATTACAAGTTTTTATATTGCATTGCAAGAGAATGCCATGTTTCTGTTTGATTAAAAGATAAACCAAAACATGTTTCAGATCTTGAAATTTGATCACAAAGTTTTATCTTTTAACATCTCTCTTTGATTAGGTGTCTTTGGAAGACCTGTACAAAGGCACAGTAAGGAAACTGGCTTTGCAGAAAAATGTTATATGCAAGACATGTGATGGCAGAGGGGGGAAAGAGGTATGTGTCAATGTCAAGTACAATGTCAATGATCTTTAAATTGTATTACAGCTATAGCATTACAGCCTTAGCATGTTATTCAAAAATTCTAATCAAATAAAATTGATATAAAATAAAAATTGTCGTTTTACTTTTTTTGTGCTCTCAGTCTTCTGAAAACTATTTCTGATAATTGATAGGGGGCCATCGAAAAGTGCCGACAATGCACAGGCACAGGAACTGTGACAAGAATACACCAAATATTTCCAGGAATGGTGCAGCAAACACAATCTGTGTGTCCAGATTGTCGAGGGGAGGGAGAAAAGATTAGAGGTGGGTACCTCCACTTTGACCACATGCTTAGAATTAACCTCATTTAATAATCTAATTAAGAATGCGATGTAAGTTTTTATGGCGTCATATTTCCGCCAAAATTCAAAATTCGTTATTTTATGTTGAACATTCTTTGTTTTATTGGACTTTTTGTATTCTGCATTCAAGTTTGTGTATTACATTCATCTTTGTGTTTTAAATTCATGTTTGTGTCGGTTTTACATTCAAGTTTGTGTTTTGCATTCGAGTTTTCGCATTTTACATTCAAGTTTGCATTGTACATTCAAGTTTGTATTTTATCCAACCGCAATCCAATAGCTAACCGGTTTCGCGGGCGCGGGCGTTAGACATAATCCAACTTTACAATAATCAGTTGAAAATCGGTGCAAACATCACCAGAGGCCTCATATCTATCTATTGCATTAACAACGTCATTAAGTAAATACCGTACTTCCTCCATAGTTCAGCTGTGGAATAACACAAAATTCACTATTGTATTTTAATTTTGGTTTTTTTATATGACACACCGGCGCACTGAGAACACACCAATGAACTATAAACAAACGACTTTACCTACAGTTCAATGAGAAACACACGCGCACTAACCATTTCGAAATACCACCTCTGTCCTCTATCGAAATCATTGAATCGAAATCAGTGATCGAAATAGAGGAAATTGAGTTAACTGGCACGCCCGCCATACTTGCGCCCGCGTAACCGGTTAGCTATTGGATTGCGGTTGGATAAAATACAAACTTGAATGTACAATGCAAACTTGAATGTAAAATGCGAAAACCCGAATGCAAAACACAAACTTGAATGTAAAACCGACACAAACATGAATTTAAAACACAAATATGAATGTAATACACAAACTTGAATGCAGAATACAAAAAGTCCAATAAAACAAAGAATGTTCAACATAAAATAACGAATTTTGAATTTTGGCGGATATATGACGCCATAAGTTTTTATTTACCAAATTGCTTTACAAACATGGTAACTTTACCACCCTACTAAAATATTTCCCCAAAAATTCTAACCAGACTGCCACAACCTTAATAAGCAAAGTATGAAGTTAGTTGCAAGGGATGAATATCAGGTGTACGGCCACCCAGGACGACAAACATGTCCAAAAATTCATCAGATTTAGACAAGCAGTATGTGTTTCAAAAATATTTCCTTGTTTCCTTGAGTTGAGCATAGCCTGCATGCTGCAATGTTTTGATTATCATGTGCTTCATGTATAGTTGATCTATCTAGGAATCCTTTTGCAGTTACTGTACTTTGAAACAATGAGGGCAATGTAATGATTGGAATATGCATAAGATACATAGAAGTTTGCTGATATTTAAAACTCCTCATTTATATAACTTGAATTTGTTTTCTTCACATACCAATGATCAAAGTGCTGCTCAATTATTTCAGAAAAAGACAAGTGTAAAGAATGCCATGGTAAGAAAACAGTGCGAGAACAAAAGATCCTTGAGGTGCATGTTGAGAAAGGAATGGAAGATGGGCAGAAAATCACATTCAGTGGTGAGGCTGATGAAGAGCCTGGGATCAAGCCTGGGGATGTCGTCATCATTTTAGATGAAAAGGAACATGCTGTTTTTAAAAGGCGGAAATTAAATCTTCATACAAGCATGGATATTAATTTAGTCGAAGCTGTGTGTGGTTTTGAGAAATATTTGGAGACACTTGACAAAAGATGGTTGAAATTGACATCCCCAGCTGGTGAAGTTATTAAACCAGGCGACATTAAAGTGATTGTGGATGAGGGAATGCCTGTGTATGGAAGATCCATTTCAAGAGGAAAACTTTTTATAAAGTTTAATGTTGTATTCCCACCAAATGAATTCATCACGGAAGACTCAATCAAAGAATTAAAGACGTTATTACCTCAAGCAGATGAGCCGATCATACCAGATGATGTCGATGATACCTATGTGTTGGATGAAATTTCTCCAGATAAAGCATCATCAAACAACCAACGGCATAATTATGTGAGTATGAAGTATGAGTTCACTTATCAGTGACTTTCTGTCAATCTAGCATAATGCCTTGAAAGTTATTTGAAACCAAATCAGCTTTAAGTGCATAAATTTCTTGGGAACCACCCCTCTTGTTTAAAACAATGTTCCATCCATAATGAAGGATACTTGATGCAAATTCTCCATTTCAATATATTTTGATTTTAGTTCGAAGATTCTGACGAAGACGATGGCCCACAGCCCTCTGGAATGCAATGTCAAACACACTAAAAACTAGAACACAGACAGGGCCACAAAAGAGATGAAGTACAAATATGTATTGCAAGTTGACTGTCAAAAAAGGCCGGAGAAATGAACAAAATTTAGAAAAATATACCGAGAATTGACTGTAATAAGCCGCAATATTTATGAAGTAGAATACGGTGAACATGTTTTGCTGAGATAATATTTGTAGCGAAATTTCATTTTTTCAAAACTTTTTTATGAACATGAACAGCCAAATATTTTTGGTTATATTTCGTGGCTGGCTCATGATTAACCTTTTTTATTCTTTTGCATGACGAATTTGATTATTCTATACTTGAAGCACTAGCCACTACTTTCGATATACTTCGTGACAAATAAACTCCCTTCCAGTTTCATGTAAACATATAATACACGGAAGATAGTTAAGCCTAAGAGCTGTTTTCCACTTCAAGCAAGGGTAAACGACTAGGTTGATAGTTGACGTGGAAAACAGACCTCTCTGTAAGCCGTTAATGATCCATAGTCAGGATTAAAAGAATCGTATTACTTAACTTAAGCGAAACACCCAAATATAAGTCAGATTAATGAAATCAGTACTGTATTAGTTTGCAAATTTAATTTTACCAAAAAGCATCACGCTTCTGTGGTTCTCGTATTGGGGTGAACTGAAGAGCAGGGGAAATGTTAGAAAGCCTATGAGGCCACCACGTTCTCTACGAAATTGACAACGTGGCTGCGAAATAGACGATTGGCAAACTTATTCCAATACAGTGCTTGTTGACCTTGTTCTTACTTCCTAGATGGTGCCCAATTATGACAGGATTGCCAATTATGGTCCCCCAGCGAGTTTACGCAACACTTGACTTGAACTGCCGCGTTGGCAGTCGATCCAGTTCCTAAGCACGGCCAAAACAAAATGGTGGACTAAAAATTCACCAAAAAGGCAGCTTTTGCCCTTTCACTCGGTGAAATATATTCCCAGAAGAAGAATCGATGTGTTCTTATGTAATACTTATAACTAAAAACACATTCGGTCATGTTGGAGTCATATATAACCCCGCTTCTTATGAGCTATGTTGATAAATACATTAAGAATTTGAAACCAAGTGACTTGAACTTATCTCTTTGGGGTGGCGACGTGTCGCTGACAAATTTGGAGCTAAATCTTCATGCTCTTGAGAAGGTGATGTACGTTTGTGTGAAAAAATGTAATGCTAGTTGTGGTCTTCGATATTTTTATAAATGGACTCCAGATTTTATATTTGTTAATTGTCTTAATTGACAAACTGCTAATTATAGCATTTACTAGTTCACGTCTTTCTATGGTCTTTCTTGAAAACCAGTTTGGAAAGGATACATTTTCAGGCACACGGTTCATCTTCGATCAAACGTTTGGCTGATCGTGGAGTGTTTATAATCCTATAATCTGTTATTCTACCAATAGCCAATAGGAGCACACTTGTTTTACTTAGGACACATATTGTTTTGTATTTATCTATTTTGTGTGAGCGTTTCAATTTACTTTATGTTTGCATAGTTAGATGCAAATTGCCATGAGCCCTGTGTCTCACAACCTTCTGGTTTTTTTATTCAATAGGAACTCAACTTTCCTGTTACTTTTTTGAGTGGGAAAATTCATGAACTTCATATTCATGTCCCATGGACAAAACTCTACTATGAACCTGCTGTCATCACTATAAATACCATAGAATGTGTATTAAAGCTGAGAGAAAACAACTTTAGTCCTGAAGGGGTTGAAGAATCCACAGAAGTTCAACAAGCAGATATTAAACCAACATCAAATTCAGGTGATCTGCCAACAGAAAATGAGAAAACTCTTCCCCCAGGATACGTACAAAGTCTATTGAACAAAGTTGTGTACAATTTAACAGTTAAAGTTAACAATTTTATATTGAAGTATGTTGAAGATGATATAGTACTATCTCTTAATGTGAAATCAGCAGAATTTCACAGTGCAAATGAGAGTTGGGAGAGGGCATTTGTGGATGTAGCTGCTCCTGACTGGATACTTCATAAAATGTGCAATATATCGGATCTTACTGTATGCTTGGACAGGCGGAACGCTGGTGGGATTATTGAAATGTACCAGGATCCTTTGGCGTACAAATGTAACCTGTCTTGCCGGATGCAAGTTTATTATGACAAAGAAGGTTTTCATTTACCACTTGAAAAGAATTTAAGTGTTTACTGTGAATGTTTGGAGGTCTCCATAACAGATCAACAATTACCACTGCTTTTAAGATTACTTAAACTAGGACTGAGTTTATATTATGGAACTCTTGATTTACCTGGCTGTGAGCCTACCTCTCATCCTGCGAAAGATTTATTCAATGAAAAAAGCAAATATACCAGTTCTAACATCATGGGTCAGATTCCTACCACCATTGTGCCAGCAAGTGATGCTGAACTATCAGAAACTGGCTGGTTATCATGGGCTTATTCTATGGTACCAGGTTTAAGTGGTGACCAGAAAACACCAGATGCGTCACTGGATTCACTTGTAACAAGGCTAGGTGTCTACATTTCTCAGGCTACTCTAAGCTTCAAGATTACTGAGCCAGTGAGTGATGGAAATTTCCTTGCTGCTCAAAGGTTTGTTTTTAAGCCCATCCTAACACTTGAGGCAGCTGGTGTTGCACAAGAGATGACCACAAGAGGAAACACATTCTTTGATTTTCAAATTGGTGTGACATCAGTGATGGCGTGGTTGGTTGATATGTGTATTTGTAAGAATCAGCAACACATTGATGATGACAATGATGATGGAATTGTGAAGGAACCTGAGGTAGATATAGTTGTTGTCACATAATAACCTATAATCTCTGCTCTTGTTACAGTCTTTCAGGATATTATCTGCCAGATGTTTCTCTTGGTATTTTTGCATTGCCTATAAATCCCAAACCATTAAATCATTTTCCTTACAGGAGGAGTTATTTTTAAAGGTTGGTGGTAGAGATACGGGCAAAAACGATGGAATCGCTTTTCTTAAAGGTTCATTATTTGACGTTGATCCCGACTCAAAAGAGAAACAACCAATGCTATCAGAAGACGCTCAAGAATTTCTCCGGAGAAACACTGAGGCGAATATTTTGTCGAGATTTGGGGCGATGTTTTTTGAATATTTGTATACGATGAATATAAAAAGTAATGAAGAAAACGCGTACTATGAGACGACAACCGTGGTAGAGGAAGAATCACATCAGCGGATTATTGTAGGAGCATCGTCGTTAGAAATAACCAGAGGTGTTGTTCATAGAATGGAAGCGATTATGAAATTAGCTGAAGACGACGCGAATTCAAGAAAAGGTGCGATTAGCCTTTTTATCATTTAAAAACCTTTTCATTCATCGCAATTATCGCTACTCTGGTTTAATTAATGAAAGTATATAATCGCCACGCAAAGATTGCATTTTTCATTCCCAAAAAAGTTGCCAATTTAGTCAGAAAATAAGGTTTTACATTTCAGTCAAAAATACAGGAATTGAATTTAGCATCAAATGTGGTATAACAACTGCCTAAAATAGACAAAACACTTCTCGACGTTTTGACCTGAGGGCCTTCGTCATACAGGAGAGTTAGTAAGAGTTACATAAGCTTTCGTAAGCTTCTGTAGTTAGATTTCATTAGATTTTATTTCATCAGATTTCATGTGAAGCCAGTCAATATTTTTGCAAACGAGTTTTTTCTGCTTTGCAGAAAAAGATGAAATATTCTACGATGACTTTGTTGTGGCTCAGTTGCTTTCCAGCAACGTATCACAGCGCAATATCCACGCAACCATCCTGGAATCTAGTCTCATTATAAAGATGGCAGATCATGAGAAATCTGTGCAGGTGCAGAATGAACCAATGCAGTCATCTGAGGGAATACTTAGTGAAATACAAGAAGAAGAAAAACAGGTTGGGAAATACTTTTAGTTGTTAAAAAACCCCCAAACACAGTCTTGAATGTCTTTGCTATGAATTCACCGTGAGTTCAACATTTATTTTTAGGCAAACGCAAGTCATTCATCTGTCACAACTGGTTGTGTGTTTCAAGTTGAGAGATTAGACTTACAAAAGAGTTCTCCAATGTTTCCTAAGGAGATGGTTAAACTAATAAAGGAGAAAAAAGGAAATAAATCTTTACTTCAACATGCTCATAATAATATGTTTGTCAAGGTGAGAGAACTACAAGTTTAGAAAACATGAATTTTGACCCTAAATTTGGTCAATTGTACAAAAAGTAGGTTTCCACTGGTAGTTCAATTGTTGCGATTACTTTGGGTTTAAACAAATTGTTTTTAGGTTTTTGGATTTCAAGTTGGTGTTTCTAAACATGACTTTGACGTCGAAGATCCAATGATGTTAAATATTCTTCCAGCATGCAACATGTCGCTTTATGCAAAACAAAGTTTGGTTTCCAGGTAAATTTTAATTCCACTTCTTCTTCACTAAATTGCATCTCTTAAAAGTAGAATTGCTTTGCAAGGTGCAAGCAAAACCGCGTAACAAAACCGTAACTTTTCTCTCAGTATGAGAAATTTCGGGATTTTTACTAAGCTGTTGGTATAATGTTATTTTTTGCTAGAAAACCTGATGGTATGAACGATATTGAGGCTAGGTTTGAGCTGGCGTCATTGTCTGTAAATATTACTAAGCCTCAGTTTGTGTTGTTGCAAAATATTTACCAGTCATGGACTGAGAGTGTCGTACCAATACAGAACATCAACATCTCATCACGAAGTTCTCTCATACAAGATGTCTTCCATCCTTCAGGTGAGGATAAAATTACCGAAGTTTCGATCTCTCGTCCTGGGCTGCAGTCTTTATGTCGTTGATTTCCATTCTAAATTTGTGCGTTCGCATCAATTAAAATTCGTCTCGCAAAGTTAAGAGAAAACGCCTTATATTTTTTATTTCATTGTTTTAGCAAAACAAGGTGGTAAGATCCCAGTGTTGATCGAAGCATTTGTTCAAGACATCAAAATTCATTTGCACGCGACTTCAGAGGAAGTCTCATCATCTGGCTCTGTGGGCTCAATAAAGGCTACGGTTATGAGTTTATGTAAGTCAACACAGTCAAAAATTTGGCTTCAATGACTTGTTTTATGACTTGCTGTAGTTTATTTTATTAAAATATAGTACTGGTAAACTGGAAGACTGACTCAGGAAGGAGGTTTAGTTATTACCTTTTCGTGTTTCTGAGTTATAAGAAAATTCCCTAGGACTGAACATGTAACGGCATGGTTATATAACTAAATATCACTCAGTTGAATTAAAGTCCACTGGTACAAACTCTTTCCAGTTCTTTCTTTAACATTCGAGAAAGATCCTAGAGCTTTTTAGTTCATAAATGTAAATATTTTCATTGTTAGGTGATAAAACGACAGAGAATACACCGATATTATACGGTCCACTAATCACCGCAGATCTTTACAATGGAGAGTGTTTTAAAACTCGGGAAGATAAAAGTTTTCGAATGGAAACACTCGAACCATGGTTGGCATTTACCTTCAAGATGCCACTGATTAGTGAAGAAGGAAATGTCGAAGGTTGGTTTCGTTGAGAGTTGCCTTATAGAAAATGTTCGGCCTTCTAGCTTTATTCTATATTGTTAAACATAATTTTCTACAATATCAAACTCGTTTTCCTTCTCAAGATCACCATCATTCATTACTTTCACTTCTAGAAATTCGTCTCCAAAGAAGTGGTGCAGTGTTACTAAAATGCAACGGTACTGCTGTCAACTTGGATCCTGTGTTGTTCACATGGCTCGCCTATTATCCACGGATTCCACCTACTGCTGATGGTTCATCGCGAAACACGAAGTTGAGGAAAGCCGTCAGTCGCACAAGATCTATGTCAGCGGTTACACCTAGAAAGAAAAGCTACGCAAGAGGTACGCTGTGGGTAGTAGAAACTTCAGTCATTGGTTATAATATTATCAGTTCTGTCTGAAAAACGCTAGATTCTGCATTCGAACCAACACAGTATATTATTTTTTAAGGCAATATATCTCCTTCACATACAAACAAGAAGAAAAAAAGATATTCTCAACAACGAAAGCGCAAGGAGAGTGTTCAGGAGACCTTAGGTCAAGATTTTGATGGTTGGGTCTGGGAGAAACTACCTTTACTGGCGTCTGTTGTTATTCAGGTGATGTATCTTTTAAGATAGGAGTGAAGCCTCATCATGTAGATTCGTTCATAAATAACAGGGAAATACAATAGGACAGCGTCTTCGATCTGTGTTAGTTTTGACATGTGGTTATGTAAGCTTGACATTCATTTCATAAACATCACTATTTGTTGTGTCATTTGAAAATATTTCTTTTGTATTTTAAGGTCGATGTTGAAAGTATCGTTTTCTTTGCGCCATCAACACACCTTGTATACGGTATATTGATTAAAACTATTGTTCCTTGTGCATTCACACAGAAATCATTTTTGAGCGTGCTCTGTATTATGTTGAAATGTGGAAGAAATATGTATCGACCCTATGAATGAAGATCTTTATTTTATCAGGGTATTCCTTTCAGTGTTACAATGAACACTGTATCCCTATGTATCGCTCTATCTCGATCCCACGAGAATTATATTTGAGAAGGGACGTAACTGAGTGTTTGTTCTACGATTTTTTCAGATGATCTTCCAACCGAATACTACGATATTCCAAGCAACTTCATTCATCATTTACACAAACATAATTCAAACTCCCAGCCACTTTCCGGAGTAGTGCTTAGTCTTCCAACGTTAAAAATCCGCAGCTCTGGTCACCAGGACCTCGCTATTTGCCACGATATATTACGTCATCCGCTAACCCTTCCTCCACGCAACAAACGCGAAACGTTGCCTTGGATTCTAACCGCTGATCATGCGTCCGTTTTTACAGTAAGGATAGGAGGGGATAAGAAAGACAATGAGGTGTACTTCGTTCTTAATCCCATGTGTTGTAGAGCAATGCTGGCCTCAGCCAAAACTTCACATTCTGGAAACGTAATTCAAAGTGAAACTAAGGCCACGTTGGATTTTGTCCTGCACACAGATTTCAATCCCTTGATCATCAATTGCTCAAAAAAACAGGTGATTATTTTGAATACATCTAAAAAGACCCTTGCCAGATGTCATTAGAATTTCATTTAGTTATTAACTATCATTAGTTTTAAACTGTGTTGTAGATCACTTGTGGATTTTCCGTCACTTGTTTCTTATCTTACTTAGGTTGATCTGCTGTTTCAAATATATTCCAACGCAGTCCAGTTGACATCTTCCGTCAGTGCTGATAATGAACGTCAAGAGAATGAGTCAATATTTCCTACAAGGTCAATATCTAATACTCTGACCGCGACAGGTCGCAGTGCAAGGCGTACTGCCTCAATTACATCATCTTCGGGATTTGACGTAGTCGACGACGAATCGGTGTCTTCCGAAAGTACTCCAAAGCCAATCGCAAGCTCATTCGAAACAGACAAGGTCAGTGCACAACACGATTGTATGATTCATGGACTAACAGGAAAGCAGAATAACTTCAATCATTTTTTGTGTTTAGGTATCACCATCGCTTGTCCATGTATCACTGTGGGTTCAGTGGACACTGCCGAAGCTATCGTGTAATATATTTGGCAGTGATAATTCAAATGGCACAGATTTACGCATCACAACAGAGCTGGAAGACTGGTCAGCCTCGTTTGATTATCAAAACGGCCGTTTTCAAGCCCAATGTAAAGTTGGAAACCTCAGCATCACGCATTATGAGATTGGGTAAAAAATTATAATTCGTGTTTTTCTGTCTTTCAAAAGCTTGAGTTTGAGGCCATGTGTACTATTCAAAAATTTTTTATAAAACATGACAAATCGATTTTAAAAAATTTCATATTTTATTTATTGAAATTTATTTTATTTGATGACTAAGGTTCCACAATCAACAGTTTTAACCATCAAAAACTACATTTGAAATTCTTAGACTTTAGTTTGTAAGGGAGCAGTGAGATAAACGAAAAATAATCTATAAATTGTCGGATTTTGGCTGAATTTCAGTTTTTGTTCATGAACTGAACTGTCATCTATCTTAGGTCATCTGGTCAATGGATCCCAGGTCCCGGTGGTGGCACTATCCTAGCTCGCCAAGACTCTCTCTCCAGTTCCCTATCGAAAGTTCAGGACAGCGATGGTAATAACTCGGACGCAGGCCATCACGGTTTTCTGTACGCCGAATACACTGCCTCTTCTGTGGCTGTCCCATCAAGCAAAGCGACGACAGAACATGATGACGTCTTTCAAAATTCGTTCAGCTTCTCCCAGGATGTTCACGTGACTATACAGCAATTTGATTTTATCCTATGGTGTCCATTATTGTACACAGTCACCAATGTGTTTAGCATTTGTAACTCGCTTCAAACCGTTCCTGTTAGTAAATACGAAATGTTTGAGGAGTCCCTGCTTGACCCTAGCCTAGTAAGGCATCAACGTCTCACCAATTTGCCTGAAATTAACCTGAAACTGAGAGGATTTCGAGTCGTTGTCCCATCATGCGTAGGGTCATCCAATCGTATGGATGGACATAGCAACCAAAGTGTTTTAGACAATTCAGATTTATTTACAATTCAAGCTTCGTCGCTTCTTATTTCCTCGCTTATCGACAATCCGATATCTCCTCTGGTTATTGACAAAAAGTTTGGTAAATTATTAACAGGATTCGCCCGCAGTCGTCGTGGGTCTGAATCGAAGTTAGGATATGGTAATACTCAGTATAAGATTGAGATAAAAAGTCTCCGTGTTTGGTCAGGATGTTGGAAAGACGTGTGTAAAATGTTTCCTTACCAGGATGCTGCTAAGGTGGAGAGAGATTTATTAGAACAGAATCCTGCGCTAGAGTGGAATACATACAATGGGTAAGTATCCTGCGTTTATTTGTGATTGAGCTATCTGTCCTTATTGCTTGCAACTAATCATGTTACATTGCGCTTCATATGCAACAGTTTTGATGCATAATTTTTCAAATTTCTACTTAATAAAAGTTCTTGTTTTCTGATGTAATGTAATATCGCATTAATATTGGACCTCGGTTTCAGGTGAATTATTTTCGATCGAGGAGGTTGTTTCAAGAACCTGATTTTTAAACTATTCACCCTATAATAATTACTCCTCTTTGCTTTAGTCAAGATCGCAGTAGTGCCCTGGCAATACCATTGGTGTCTGACTTGGACATAAAATGCATCGTAGCTCCGCCCATCTCACTGCATACCTCAGTTAAATCACGACATTGGAGTAAGCCTATAATTGGTTTGTCATTAGAAATCAATCTTATCACTGATGTTGAATGTTTCATCAGCAAAAGTCAGGTAAAATGAAAAGTGCCTCAATTGTCCAAGAATATTGCAATGTTTTCTTAATAATATAGGATTTTCTGCTTATAGGTTAAACTAATGCAGATCATTATGGAAGAAAACATAATGAACAGCGGCTTGGGCAGCGATGATGTCATTTGTGATGTTACAACGCCTGGACATAGTGATCCTAACACAAGCAGTGCTCTTTACCATCGGTCAGAAGTAGAAATATCACAGGAGAAACTTGACAGTGGTGTTTGCAGTGAGCATTCAAACCGAACCCGCTATGTGACGAAGTTACGTAATAAAAAGCCCGACGTTCAACAGATGGAATGCCTGTTTACCGCCAGAGGAATTTCCATGTTTGTGTATGAACATTCTACGAATGAGGAATCCCGCCCGCAGTTGGTTCCAATTGTTCGTGTTTCCCTGATTCAACCTGCCTTTAACTCTTCCAGACGAGCAGACTGTGACACCATTCAAATATCATGTTTCGATGTATCTTTTGCCCAATGTAAATCACACGCGAGAAATATAGGTGAGTTTATACCTGGGCGAACTGCAGTAGCTATATCTAACGACGATCTAAAGTCTTAACTAACTAACCTGAACTAACGTGATTTATTGTACAAGATTTATTTCTGTTTAAGATGACACTCGGTTGGTGCCATCATTAGAAGACTATGACGTCGTTTGGTTTCGTACTGGTGATGGCAGTCCAGATAAACGTACTGAGCTCTCACCTGCTTTCATCACATTTACGACAAAATTGTATCCAACTTCGCCTGGTAAGTGGTTTTGCGGATAATAATATACAATCAATAAATACGATTTCTTTAATTTAATACAGTAATAGTAACAGCTTATACTGTAATCTATTTTTCCAGCTGATCTCAAGTTAGATTTTGGCAGGCCGATCTGGATTGATATTGATGTTGGTCTGCTGGAGAAACTGATCAATTTCACTACTGACGTCAATATGCAAAGCACAACACTGGATAGTGATGAGCAGTCCAGTTCCGCAGATCCTTTGACTCTGGTCCGTTCTGTAGCAGTATCAACGGATTATGTTTCCCTCATCTTAACTGCTGGCCAAGACAGAAAGTTTGATCCTGCTCTTCAAATATCGTGTTTGTCAATGAATTTCGGGGTTAGTCTGAAATCTGATAACAGAAAAGGTACATTATGTTGTTATTTGTCATCTTCAGGAGTAATAAGCAACCTGTAAATATTAAAATCAAGCGAAAGCCATCAGGAATAAGAGATCTTAACGTTAGCTAGCGTCAGTATTACTTCTATTGTATTTTTGTAGATTTTTGTCAACGTGTCGCTGGCAATCTCCACTTCTTTGCTCTCACCGTGTCGTCAAGTATCGACGATAAACAACGGTCAATTCTTCTACCTTTTGATTCATCCGTTGATATGGAATTGTTCTGTAATTCCCCGTCAATTTCTAAGGATGCATCCTGGTGAGAAAAATAAAACGTACATGATTTACCAGGAAATTCAATTCTATGAGAAATCATAATATTCGCCAAATGGAATTTTCTTCCATAATCGCGGAAGCTGAACGACGTCTGTCAGCAGTGTCAGGCCGCTTGTACAAGTTGAATTTAATATTAAAATATAATCAAACGGCCGTTTGTATAACGAGAAGTATTTTTGAGTCAATAGTAATATTTACACTGGACATAGACTATCTGATCAACAAGCCATTTTTCTAAGTTATACGTCTTCACGTAAAAATGGTAGGCATCGTGCTTTGAGCAATCCGTCCAAGTTGAAATGTTTTAAGACGAGTTTCTCTTCTGGAAAATGAACTTAAAACAAATCGGACAAGAAATGTTTGTGTTCACAACTTATAACTACATAGGAAAAAAGCAATCTTTGCACCTTTTCTTTCTTTCAGTGGTTCAATGGTGAAGGAAATCTTTGTGTGGATGGATTCAGGCTTACTGGAGCTTAATTTTGGTCAAGAACATCTCAAATGCCTGCAAATGTTTACAGAAAATATCATGGCGTTCGTAAACTCTCATTTGCAAGGAAATCGTCATGAAGCTGCTGATTGTACTGACACGTGTCCAGGTTCTACGCCATTCATTCACCGTTCTCAGGATGACCTGCGAACAGGCCCATTTAAGTATATCACGTCAGCAGGTAGGTATCCACTATGGAGTTTTGTGTTGTCGTTGTCTCATTAAACATTTTTGTCAAACATTCTGTGACAAGCATTGTTATTCCTAAACAAGCTTTCGTTCATAAGCTATGCAAGAAATTCTATGCTATGTACCGTAATAGGTAGAACAGTGAGTTGTAGTCTATGTAATTTTCCAAGATGATTCATACAGGATCGGTTTCACTGATTTATTTTTCTAAATCATTTTGTTTATTCTGTTGTAGCTCCTGATGCTCGCCCTAATCCCTACGAGATTGTATTCCGTGAGGAAGATCTACCTACAATGACTTGGCGGTATCCAGAACCACGTGCGCTATCTTCCATTCATATCATCCCAATTCCTTTCACAACTTTTACTAGTTACCCCAGTCCTGTCATGGAGGAAGACCGCCTGGTTAGTTATTCGTCTAAGACTGTAATAAGCTATAAGGATCATTATGGCCAGATAAAACTCCCATATGATTCGGTACATTGACCGACCGCCGATTGGTCGAAAAATAAACTGTGCTTCTAGATACGGTGCACGTTTTTATTAAATTGTCGCATCCAACGGTGTCTCGTAAAACCGGTTCATAATACCAGATAATGACATATCTACGCTGTTTTGTTTACGATTTTTTATAATTTGATTTAGTTGCCATGTATTCTACGTTATTGGGACAACGTTCAAAAATCGTACGTAGAACATTCAACATTTTACATCTCAGAAACTACATCAACCGACGTCACCTTGTGTAATCCTATGACTGGTCCGCTGTCCGAGGTGACCGCGGCCTCAGAATGGCAAGTGGTGGCGAATATTGCTATGACAAGTGACGACAGTGAATTGTCAAGGTATGGTGATCTTTTGAATAAATTGTGTTTCTTATTCTTGTTTCTTATTCGGTTGAGACTTCAGGCAACCATACTTGATGCATTTCTGTTTTGTAGTGATGACGACGAGTCTATGTTCTCTGAGCGGTCTAATATTCCCTCTCCAATATCAGCAGCATCACTAGCTGCTTGTATGAAAGTTGATTCAATATTTTGTACAAACCTCGTCCCCAAATTGTCACTAGCAGCTACGGTTAACGTCGTGCAGTTAACTATCTTTAATCACATGGAAAATGCCCATAATGGTAAGTAGGGGATGCATACTGATCAATATTTCTTCCGCATAAAGCTTTTTTATCGTTATTCCTTTGTAATATCATGCTGTATCACTGTATGCCAATATTATATTAACCATCGCCCTACAATCCTTCAATATACTTTATACTCCTCCCAAACTCCGGTAATTTTAGTCATCTGGGGCCGGTTGTTCGAAAGGTGTTTATCTTAAACGGTGGATAAGCCGAAGTTTAAAATTACTCTCGTACATCTTGTGAATGACTGAACCTGCATCTTATGCATTTAATATGTTTTTCCATTCAAAACTAAACTATTTACATCAAAATATTTCAGCTCAGTTGTTCAATAAATAGATAATTTTGTTTTCCATTTTGAACTTATATCCACCGTTTAAGCTAAACGCCTTTCGAACAACCTGCCCCTGTAATACTAAGCAAAATTGTTGGGTAAAATAAATTAGGATATAACTGCGTCCTACTTCTGGTGACAAATATTCACAATCGTTATTGCTTTTAGCCATTGCTGAAAAGTTTAAAGGATTCTCTCTGCAAGATGAGGTCCCCAAATCTCAAGAATTTCTCCGCATTGTGGCAGAAAATTCAACCATCATTATAAAATCATGGCCAACCAACACCTTGCAATGTTCAGTCTGGAGCAATCTTCATGCTGACGCACTAAACTATCGTGAGCTGAGATGGAAACCTCTGTTAAACCCTGTAAATTTCACGGGTGCTTTTGTCAGGAACCAAATTACACAGGTGTGTTGGCACGGTGAGATTGCCCTAGAATTGATTGCTTTGTCACACATCACAATCCAAAAAGGATTAAATTTTGGTTCGGTTCGAAAAATATTAGATGCGGAAAATACGAAAGTTGTTAATCGCCGTACAATTCAGAAGTTTTGAAACTTGAATGTTTAAAACTGTTTACTCTATACCTAATACTGAAGAAAGGCAACAAGATAATCATATCTTTTTTTGCTATCATAGGTAGAAAGCGCGCGATTCACTGAAAATTCTGGTGATTGTTCTTTTGATATAAGCTTTGGTGATATTATTTTGGATGTCAGTCAGACCATGATTCATACATTGTCTGGGGGAATCCAAGCTTGGCAAGATGGCGAACATCCTCCCGTCTTGAGTCACTTCATCATTTGCAATAACACAAATCTCCCGATCAAATTTGGACAGGTACTGATTGCTTTAGAACAATACAATTTATTGCTTATAAGCTGGTTATACTAAAATAAATCTGGTTTCTAGGATGGTACAGACGAAATTATACTCCTTGGAAGTAAAGAATTAACATTTTACAGTTGGTTAACACGAAACGATTTATGTCATCAAAAGTTACATCTAAATCTCGACGGGGAGAACCGCTGGTCTGAAGCATTTGGTATCGATACTCCAGGAGTTACTAACCGTGTGGTGCAGTATAGTTTACACACAGCCACTGTGATTATTGAAGTTAAGAAGTTGTCTGGTTTACAGAGACAGGTACAAGCCTTATACGCTGATATCACGTATAGCTTGGTTTCCTTGTATTTTTCGTTCAATAAATAATTTATATGACAGAGTTGATCTTAATTTTGTACACTTTATTGTCAGGTTGTATTTCACAGCAGTCATAAAGTTCAAAACAATACATCATATGATATTGAAGTACAACTTCTTCAAAACCCAGCGTTAACTCAAGCAACGAGTCCGTCTCTTCAGGTAAAACTTAGCTGTAAATTACCCACCCACTCTCCCCCCCCCTTTTCCCCTTAAAATTGCCGGCACCGTAGTCTCTAACTGGGACCGGTTGTATCAAGCCCGTTTAGCTTAAACGGTGGATAATTCAAAATTAAATGACACTCTTACATCTCTCTTGAATGAGTCAACTTGAATATTATGCACTGAATATGTAGTTGTAAACAGTATCTTTGTATCAAGCTCAAAAACATTTAGTTCGCTTGTTGAATAAAACGTTAGACTTGCTTTCTATTTTGAAATTATCCACCGCTTAAGCGAAACGGGCTTGATACAACTGGCCCCAGAAGAATATTGAAGATAGGAAAAGCAATTTTCATTTCGAGCCTTCGAGGAAATTTTGAGTTTTCTTGGTTCATTTTTTTATGTTGTATCATTATTTAGATCCTTCACAATATTATGATTACGTCCCAGTCCTCATCGCCTTCTTACGTCATCTCTCATGGTGGTTTGGCGGGAATACGTGTAAGATTACGTGGTGAGACGACATGGTCAGGAACTCTACCTATTGAAGACCAGATACCAAATTTCAGACAGCATTGTGTTGTACAGGTATATTTCCTTTACTACCAAATAAGTAAGTTTATTCATGATACTCACGAGATTACCTCTGCAATATTTCCAGCGAAATATGGAATTATTATATAATTTTAGATGTTAGGAACAAAAGAGTTCAAGAACTTCTATGTTTGGTATAACGCCGTTTATGTTGATGAACTCATTGGACAGATAGAGGTATATTCAATTCGTTAATCCAGACTGCTCGCTATTCAGTGACTTCATGCAGCCAGCAAAATACTTGAGCTGTTCGAACAACAGCTGAGCTGTTGTTCGAACAGCTCAAGATCGATAAATGGCCGTTACGAGTTATTATGAATTACTTGTTTTTTAGATTTCATTTTCACCATTATTTATTATCAAAAACTACCTTCCTCAAACCATTCAACTGACTGCCTTGTCGGCTACTGGTGACGTCACTGTTACCCATGATGCGCCGGGAGAAGCTCATGAATATCAATTGTTCGATCTTCCACCCGACTCGTGGCATTACGTCACCTTTAAACTACCACAAGCAAAGGTCTCCTCTAATCCCTCAGTACCCCTAAATACAACCCTTCATGAACTGACGGAAAAAGTAAAGCAGAGCAATGAGAGTAACGATTTGACGCATTCAAAATGGCCGTATACATCTAACTCCTGGAGAATGTAAGAATTTTAACCTTTCCATCCTATCTAGTGGAATACCACTTATACCCACATACACCACCTCCCCCTTCATTATTTTATCCACAATAGAATGTCTGGCTCGTATGAGTGACCTGCCTCATCTATAATCGATATTATTTAATATGAAACTATTTCAGTGTGAATTTATTGCTGTCACTAAATCTCTGTGGCAATTCTTTCATTCTGATCTCTTTAGTTTTAGTTTACAAAATAAAGTCAGAATAATAAAACGAAACATAGGAAGCCCACACTAAAATTCGTATAGTTTAGGTTACATTTAATGCAAGGAAAAGAAAGTCGTGTTTATCAATTTTCCTAATCATTTAGCTCGACCGACTCGTATTCAAAACCCGTGGAATCCACACTGTTCCGTCACGTTAAATCATCTCAAGAACACAAACCCTCGGAAGAAGGTATGTTTTGTAAAAATTATTTGCAGTATATAGGATTGTCTTATTAAGTTGTTAAATCTCGTCAAATTGATAACTCGGTCGAATTATCTCATTTTTGTCCTTTTAGAATCAAACGACAGTCACACAGCATGTGTAGAATTACAGTGTCAAATTCTTAGCAAATGGAGCAATCTACGTAGCATTATTTTGGAGGTGAAGCCTTGGAGTTTGCTTGAAAATAAATGTTGTATTACAATGTATCTAAGAGAAGAAGCTAAAGAAGGTGTTTATGACGTAAAACCTGGGCAAGTGATTTCCCCTGTCAAACTCAAGGTTCGTATTTGTGTAAACTAAAAGCGCTCTGATGAGGGATTAACCATAAGTACTCTCCCCTCAATATTATTGCCGTAAGTACTCTCCCCTCAATGTTATTGCATGCCCCTTACTGTCTGGGCGAACAAGTTACAACAATATTGACAATCTTGGACAGAATCTGTTACTGTAAACTATGCCGATTAATCACTAAATATTTCAATCACGTGTCATAAATCGTCCGATTCATTCTCATTATTCGTGCATCGCCCTCCCTCCCCCCAGTCCAATGTTGGTGCCAACCGGATATCACCGATCTCGTGCAAAGCTCAAGACAAAACAACATTGATTCGTGGGTAGAGTGGGGGACATAAAATTGGGGTTAATTTTTCCAGTTGTCCACGATTGTAGCGTTATCCTATATGTTACTATGTATGAATTAACACCCGAGCTGGGTCTATACTCTTGTGGAAATAAAAGCCCTCATTAAAGATATTCTCTAAACTTAGCATTTTTCTTTAGTCCTTCCGTGTCGGAGTCTCACCTCGGTGGCTAAATGAAATATATTGGTCTGATATTATATCCCTTGTGGACACCAATCACCCTCAGGCGATGATCAGTGGGTGCTCCCTCAGACAGTATGGTCAGTTGAAATGTCAGATAAGTATTCCTAGCCCGTCAGGCAGAATGTTGTGTTCAGTAATGCTGACGTCATCTATAGCCAAAGGTATCAGGGTTGTAACCTTACAAGAAACCACTCGGCTAGTGTGTACAGCTCTGCCCAGACCTCTTCTAGTTCAACCTGTTGTGATTCATGACGTGACCGTCAAGGTAAGATCGTATCTTTCATGTTGCTAAATACGTCATGATATTGTAACTTGCTTTGACACAATTTTGACCGCAGTATGATTCTGAATTTTAAAGATTATATATTGTAAGCTGTAGAATTAAACTATATCCAAAAAAGTAAACACACGCCGCTGTTTGATATATTTGGCACAAATATTTGGTTTTGTAGCATTCTTTTTACATTTTCTTCTAGTTGAAGGAAGCTTCTTTCAGCGCTCATACACGAATGACCTTAAACACAGAAAATCAATCCGACATTGCGTCTCAAGGCATCCCATTTTGGGACTTATCTTCTGACAAAGACTTACCAGAAACCAGTTCCAATGACCCGCTCTTTGTGCTTATATTTGGCTTACCTAAATCACAGGAAGGACTCAATGAATCATCTGCTGTGATACAGTGGAGTCGCCCGGTCAGAATACAACAAGGCATCGTAAGACAATGCGTATTTCTTCAAACCTCAGAACCAGGCCCTCTTCTCCCTGTAGTCGTGATAACGCTTATTGAAAACGGTTTAATTAAAGTCGTCGTAACTGAAGACAAAGTTCCCCGGATATTACTAACCAATCAGTGTACATCTCCGATACAGTTCGGACAGTGCCCCAGTAATTCAGACAAACAAAGTGCCAAAAGTACAACATTATCTGGACGCGATCTTGTTGTTTCTGAACATTTAGAACAATACACCACTATTCCGCGTCTAGATTGCAATTCCTCTGTTTACTATGAACCACCAGAACTCAGGGAGAGTTTCTTAACAAAGAAACCTCAAATAGTTCCGAAAATACGCGTGCAAGTTTTGAAACAGACAGATATAAAGGAAATAAGCGGCGAAAGAAAAGATGAAACACGAACAAAAACTATTTCCTTGCCTCAGGGTTGGAGCGAAGCTTTAGATCTCACCAGTGAAGGGAAGATGGCGTATATTCTGCCAGGAGACTACAGGTTGCATGTCCAAGTGGTGAAGAAAACATCGTCTTTGACTCATGTTGTCTTTTCAGATACTTGTCGTGTGTCGGAATGCAACGACACATTACCACAAGACGAAGTGAAGGTCAGAATTTTATAACTCTTAATATTTTAATTACGGTAACATAAGCTCAGTATCTCGTTCATTCTTTCTAGATAAACTGCAATGTGGCTAACTTTAGTTTATGTCTACAAGATGAATCCTTGTTGGTGGCAACAACTGAAGTATTTCGTATCAGCCTTGAAGATCTCACACTTTCGGCATTGATTGATGACACTCAACAAACTCACGTTGAACTAAACCTCTCTGGAATGCAGATCGATAATCAAATGACGGACGATTTCTATCACTTTCCTGTCTTGTTATTGCCGCTGGAAAATGAATCACGGAACACGAAGCGCAAGGAGAGACGAACGTTGAAACCGTTGCTAAAAATCTGTCTGGATTTTTCTTCCTCCAAGCAAGCAATACGTGTACATCTCTTGAGCATTCAACTTGAACCTCTTTCCGTATTTATCGAAGATACTTTTCTGTACAGGCTCGCAGGTATGCTGGACTCGTTCATTCTTCCTGAATCTGGTCACCCAAAAGAACCTTGCGGGAGTATCCATACTTCCTCACAATCTTCTCACACTCAGACGGCAAATGACGACTTTCAATTAATTTCCAAGAATAGTACGACGTCACACGACGATATCCAAGCATTGACACTAGCATCCGGTGTTATTAGCCCAATCCTGATCGACCACATTCGAGTCGAATCTGTGTATGTGCTAGTAACATTCCACGCTTCTGTTAAACTGTTTGTATCCGCCAATCACACACCACTATCGTTCTCAAAATTTGAAATGACGTCATTGTTTACAGAACCAACATTCTTAGCGCAACTACTAGCCGTACATTATGCTTACTCAGCATTAATGAAAGTCGGCTGGGTTGTCGGTTCACTTGACATAATTGGCAGTCCAGCTAGTTTCATCCGAAGTTTCGGTCAGGGCATAGCGGATTTCTTTTACCTACCCTACGACGGGCTAACGCGTGGGCCAACTGCATTCGTGACGGGGATGACACGCGGTATGTCCTCGTTTATGTCGCACATCTCTGCTGGAGCACTTTCTTCGATCACTAATCTCGCGTCCAGTCTTGCGCGGAATATGGATAGACTGAGCTTTGATGAACAATATGTGAGATTTCAGGAGCAGCAAAGAGCTGACGGTGTTCCAAGAAGAGTTATTTCAGGTTAGTTGGTAAAACTCGTTAAATACAGGCAGGGTAAGATGCCGACGTACACGACATATCACGACATATCACGACATATCACGCCATATCACGACATATCACGACATATCACGACATATCACGCCGACGTTTCACATCTTCTCATACTTTCTTAGCTCATTAAAAGTGTTGACGCGGTCACGCGGGCAAAGCAATAAATTGATCTGCAAGTTGTTGTTTTGTTGTTTTATAGGCTTTACTCACGGTGTGTCTGGATTCATGATTAGTGTATTGGGGGCAGTGGCTGGAATGGCTGATCAACCCTTACAGGGGTTGTTCGGTGCAGAAAGTGTCCGTGATGTGACCAGCGGTTTCATAATTGGAGTTGGAAAAGGTCTGATTGGTGTTGTCACCAAACCTCTGGGTGGAGCAATGGAGCTTCTCTCTCAAACAGGTCAGGGTATTCTGGAGGGAACTGGATTAGGAGAAATGCCAGTGAGATTGTATGACCCTTTGGACAGAGGAGAAGATTCAGGAAATAATTGTAATCTTAAATATCTTTGGTAAGTATTCATCATATTGGTTTTAAGATATATGTGTTCACTGACCTGATGGCTCGACAACGTTCGTCTTTAGGAAGTTCCTGCGATCAGAAACCTCAGATGATATTTTTTGTGCGGTTATTGTCAGCGTATTGAGCAATGGAAACTCGCATTTTGATGCAATTCTCATCATGTCTTGTAACTCTATAATGTTCGTCGATCCAGACGATGAAACGATATTGCTAACGTTTGTCTTGAAGCAAGTTGACATGCGCGAAGACCCAGGACACCAACGTGCTATCATCATGGAGCATCGTGGGCCTGGAGCTGACACTCTGAGTGAAGTGTCAAGCTTTGCAGAACTCAGTCCATCAAACGCTAGCTTGCCTCGTGATGTCACTAATGGAAACTCCCGCTTATCTTTCTCAGAGAACGAAGCGACAATTTTGACGTTATTTATGGATCCTGTATACCTGAGACCCCTACTCAGTAGATTTAAATTATTGAAGTTTGGTTATTACAGAATATCATAACCACACCACAACAAGCTTTGCAATTGGTAATTCTCAAGTTACAGTAAGAGAACTCACTGTTCACAGTGAGGCTTGGCAATGCATAATGGGCCTGTTTTAGAGAGCTTTTTCTTCCGTCCAAAAAACCATCTTATGGTACACTACCAATCTCGTTGCATTTCAAAATGGCGATTGAATCAGAATTTGTCATTTTAAATCACACCCTCTAGTTTTTCTGTCATTTGCAAAATGAAATGCCTCCACAAAAATTTGCTCCGCTTTGCCCTCCAATTGTTTGATACGTTTCGTCTACTCTCTTTGCCCAACACGCACCATGTTTGTCATTGTTTGCACTTAAAGAACCCTTTATTCCAGTCAACACCTGAGTTTCTCGGTTTATATAACTGGGGCTGGTTGTATCACTCACTATGAGGTGGATAGCGTTATCCTTCGTAAAACTGCATCGCCCATGATTTCAAAGGGAATTTTCCCTCACAAATTCAAACATTGCGGGTGAAAAGTTCATTGGGGCAAAATTTTAAACAATCCACTTTAACTTTCGCAAAATTATATTTTCTCTTATTCTAAGCCAAATACCTTTTTGTATTAAATACCCAAATATTTTTGTATGAAACGGTGCTACAATAATATTTCTGACAGTTTCTTTCAGTTGTTTCTTTCAGTGCCAAAATGTGTAAATCACCTATCATCTCTTACATTCAACAATAAAAACAATATAAAAGTTTTTCTGTCCACTTTATATATTTTTTTAAAATTTAAACATTCTGCTACTATTAAACAAGTATTTCCTCGTTGCTTTGTACAGTTTGGTTCAATTCTTTCCAATAAAATATGATTTTTCCACCTTGATATTTGAAATAATAATTCCACATCATATTTTACTGGTAAGAAATTTACATCTTTAAAGTATTCTGAATAAATAATTACATTTATAATATTTTCTGAATGAGATAAAATTTGCATCAGTTCCTGTGGATCTTCGACAACAATTGAGAGAACTGACAGACTGGGGATAGCCTGCAACTGAGGTTTACCCGCTTCTATTATACCGTAAGATACCCATAACATCTATTTGGAAACATGGTTTCTCAAAAGGGCCCAACTAAAAGGTTTTAACTCAAGCAATCCTGTTCAACAGGGGATGGACTAATCTGATTGGTTGAGCTATTAATTATATGCATATAATATATATTTCACAGATTCTAATAGAGAATCGCTTATAATAACAACAAGCAGATTTTAGGAATTTTTACACCACATGAAAAAAGAAATGCGGAATATGAATAAAATATAGTTTTTTCGCAAAATGATTTTACCATTGTGAATGTTGAACAATAATCATTCTCGAACATCCCCGGTGTGTCAAAGGGTTTGCCATGTCAAATGGTGCAAAAATTGCTAAAATATTTTGCTTATTCTACACAATCCTATATTATCTACAAGCTAGCTAGAATGAATTTAGCATGTCATGCATTAGTTCTAAATGATTTTGGCCGTTCTGTGTATTAATTAAATTTGCCGCTGAGAGACTATTGATCTCAGAGGGCGTGGAAAACGGTATCTGACCAGGCATTTGATCATCCATGACGGGCATCCCGTCCATTGATGGTGACATTTCCGGTATTGGTTCGAGAGGTTTCATATTTTGTGGGAATGGAAACCCCATCATTTGGGCCATATGATTTGGTGCTCCAGGGTACTGTCCGGGGGTAATGACCGGACCTAGGTTAGTATAATGGGACATCGGAGGTAGTGGTAGGGTAACAACGGGTTGGCCCATAGATAGTGGACTGTTGCAGCCGTTTGTGTTCTTTTTGTTACTCTCTGTAATAAAAGATTTTTGATTCGTAATGGACATCTCAGTAAATTTTTGATTGTCATAAAATACGTGGGTCCCATAGTGGTCCATGCATGCATGACTTATCTGACTGTCACCCTTACGATATGCGATTGTCAGATTGAACTCCGTTCCAAAATAGGTTGTAATAAACTTTCGTATATATAGCCTACCTTTCTCTTCCTTTGACTTCTTTCCAGGTCTTTGTCTGTTTGTTACTCTGCAACTGGCAGCATTGTCGGATTCAGGATTATTTCTTCGAGCTAGTTTCTTGATCTATAAAAAGGGAGCTTGGTATTGTGGAACTTACGAAACATTGTAATATTTTATCGCCCCAATGGGCAACAACGCGTTAATTAAACTTCTATTTAGAATGACGTGTTTCGATATATCTTCAAACGAATGTTTGGGCACATTTCAATGACATATTTACCTTAGCTCGTTGATTCTGGAACCAAACTTGAACAACTCGCACACTCAGACCAGTTTCACGTGACAGTTCCTCCCGAACCTTTGGAGAGATTTGAAAGTTGATAAATCGTTAGAGATAGATTTGTGGCGATGTTTGCGATAGAGATATCGCGATTACGATTTGCAAACTAATTGAAACCATTCTTAGACCACCGTGCTATCGCTGTTGCTTATACCTTGCGACATGGTTTCGAGCTGACTTCGAAAGAAGATTTAAATATTTTCCTCTGTTGACTCGTTAGGATTGTCCGTGGCCGCTTTGCGGGTTTCTTTCCGTCAGAGTCCGTGTCGCTGTCCGGGTCTTCACTATCGGAATTGTCCTCTCCTGGGGGAAAATTAATTTTCTGTTTAATAATCTAAAAAGTCGCCCAAATTTTGCCGGTATTCAATTTGTGGCAAAGATTTGACATGCAAGATTTGACATGCAAGTTTAGTGACATTCACACAGTCATTATTACTTACTTTCTTGTTTAATTATTTTCATATTGGTAAAATGTTCTTTACAATAGAGTTTGTTATCTTTGAGGGCAAACTCCTGTCCTTTCTCGAGACGACATTCACAGACCACGCATGCGAAACAGTTAATGTGGTACACATGACCAGCAGTTCTCATCACCAACTCGTTTGATGGAATAGGCTCACCACAGTGACTGCATTTCGTACCAAACAACCTGCAGAAATACACAAGAAGGTTAATGCTTGCATTTTATTTTTAAACGCTTTTATTTTTCTCCTTCCCACGAGCAGTGGAAAATGTATGGTATATGAAGGGTTATAAATGGGGCATTTATAAAATGATGCATTTATGCTAGAAAACGCTCTCATACCACCCAGTGTGCCTACACAAGATTGTGTTATCATGCGGTATCGTTTACTACAAAGACTAAACAGAGACAGACAAATATTATTTTCGATTACTTCCTTCGACCCCAAACAGATGTAGTCGCTAGGGTACTTTGATCTCGGCGCCGACATGTTGTTACCTCGAAATTTTTTCATACGTGACATTCCTTTGAGAAGATACTGTGGTCATTCTCTGGGAAAATTTGTTTAGGGCTTCATGAACATACAAATAGACACGTTTTTGTGTGTGCCTGTTACAACTCTGTTCTCTCTTTCTTATCTTCTTGCTATGTCTCACTAATGCAATTAAATGTCCGTTCTTGGAGATGAACAAAAGGTTTTCATCTTAACTATTTTATTTTGAAATATGTTCCATATGTTTTATTCGTTAAATTATTTTCCTACTGTCAGTTGCTACGATTTTCGCTTGCTACATGATACTTGTTTGTGAATTTCATCATAATGATGCATTCCTTTTGAATGGGTTGAACATATCCAGAATCACTGAGCTTAATTCTTTTCCCATTCTGCTATTTCTTTTTCCCATGCTTATTTTTACCAGAGAATTAATTAAGTCCATAAGCTTTATCCAAGATATAGGGTTATGGTATACATTTGATCGCTGTTGATTTTGTATTGGTTTTTCGAACACCATAAGTGTAGAATACTAAAGGTTTTTGGTAATGATTATGATTTATGACGTTTTGAATTGACTAAGTACTTGAGTGTGTGATTCAGTATTAAAATACGCTAATAGCGCAAACTGCTTTTCCAATTAGTTTAAGAATTATCGCAATTAGCATAAAGAGCGCTGTTTGTCACTTTCAATGGTTGAATGTATTCTGTGCTAAGTCACAGCGGTGCCAAAGATTGGATGCACCCAAGTAAATGTCTAATATGGTTGCCTGGTATAATTGATTGGTTCGTACATATATAAACGATAGATTTACTGGTTTTATTTTCCAACGTAGACAGTTCCAAACTAACAAGCTCTTGTTTCTTAACAATCTATCGCTAACCCTAATCGAAATCCTAATCTCTAACCCTATTCGAAATCCTAATCTCTAACCCTAATCGAAATCCTAATCTCTAACCCTAATCGAAATCCTAATCCAATCCCACTCATCCTAATTCTCATTTGATATAGCAATAAATTGGGCGCCGATGTTGCACGATTGCCTCACTAATTGTCCTGGCCTCGGGAAAGACGTCATGACCACAATCTATGTAAAGAGCCCCTGAGGGTCTTTATTATGACATCATCATTAGCACAACGTTCGTAATACGTTGAAACCGTAGAAATAGTTGAAACGTAAATAAATTGAAGTAGACGAAAAATATGTTTAGTTCCCCGGGCTAAATGCATAAAATGCCGGTCCTTGAAAAGTACTTAAGTGTGATGCCTGATAAGAAAATTATAATACGTTCTATGGTCTAGTAATGTTATTATGTACTTAAGGTTGAAGAAACTGAAAAGTGATGTGACGTTGTATACAACAGCTCACTGCTGAAGAGGTATGTTGAGGTTGGGTTTGAACGGTTTGAAAGAGGAATTATATTATTGGTATATAATGGTGTTGGGAAATACAGTGTTATTGTACTGAGGACACCAATGCTGCATTGAACATTGTTAGTTCACAGAAAGTTCAAAGAAAGTTTATTTCAGTGTGAATGCTGCTACCTCAAAATCTGGGGTCGCTTGTATAAAACTATTTAACTACACGTTGCATCGTTAAATCCTAGTTCAACTCAGAATACACGACCCTGATTGGCCACTTCTGCTTTAACTGCAGTTAAAAGTTAACTATTCTTTTTATACAACTGGCCCCAGGTAGTTAAGACTGACACGTCATTAATATCACATATTTTCAAACAGCACCGGGAGCACTGGGGTAGAATCATCCTCATGGAATGCTATGGATCTGTATTCAAGAAATGCATAGTCAACACGATACAGTTCTGTTATACAAATATAATTACTCCAATTATTTCAGAGCCGTACTCAAAGTCGACGACATACAATGAAGCAAAATTTATGTCATAATTAAACGACAAGGTCATATCCACGGCGCTTGTTTAAACATGTGTAATGTTGAATAGAAGTGATATTGCTTCATTGTTTCTTACAAATTGTGAAACAAGCCGGTTCGTTAGCACGATAACAATGCTTAGCAGGTTAACTGTTTACCTTAACTTGTACGACTTTGTTCAATTTTATGATGAAATTTTATTGCATGTGCATGTCTTTTTGTCACATTTCAAAAATACGTTTGTGGATGTCGTATTGTTGTTTTATTGTTTGTTGCGGGATCATTCTATTTCTTTAAATGTATTATTTCAGTCACTTCGAAATGATATTTTACTCAGTCCAGTATTTTTATAGCAGTCGGTGAATCATTGGTAAATGACTGTCACTTCGTGATCTGCTAAAATTAAAATCATTTGACACATGTCTATTTGTAATATCAGTCATAAAATAGAACTAATACAAATTTTTTGCAGCTAACCACATTGCAAATGATCACATGATGGCACGTTAATAATACATGAAACTGGAGTATGTTAGATATCCATGAATATTGAACTCCTTTACATGCAAATAGGAGTATATGACCAAGTTAGCGAAAAACGTCTCGCAAGTTCTGGCGTGTTTTGTGAACATTTATGAATATTTACCCGACGAATTACCACTTTGGTTAAGCAGCTCTAGCAGTGTTTGACCGCCGATATTTATATCTGGCAAATTTATCGAGTATGTTTACTTTGTTCTTATCATGTCAGACCTTAGTGTACATCTCTGGGTTCGCGGTCTGGCTTTGATATTAAGATTAGCATGCTTTTATCATGGGCATTCCTCCTTGCCTCTTGTTTGCCAAGCCATAGATATATCTTTTAAACGGTTTTTAGATTACTGTCATTCAGATTATATCGGTATGCGTAGCCGAGATTCAGTTGGGGAGGCCTGTATGGAACGGTGAACTCAATAATAAACTGGAGCATGGGCTTCAAGGCATTGTTGTGTTAACTTGGATAGACCCTTCATTCCCTCTTAAGTTTTAATATAACTCTAATAGTTCTCGGTAAATTGTTTCTATACATGGCCAAATATCATATTGGCCTACACAGATTTAAGATACAACTTAAATTTGTATCTTAGACGTTATTTACTGAATAAAAGTTGTCTGAGAACTAGTGTTATTTTGTAGCCATGTTGTAAAAATTGATCTGTCACTACATTTAGCTGATCAGTCCTACAATTTGAGACAAACCCCTGTGTATTCTAGAATGTCGGCGTAAGCCGTAACGCTACTACTGTCACTTTGTAATTGATATCCCCCGGGAAGACAAAGCTTTAAGTGATTTCTTTAAAAAATTGCTTTCAATCCAAATACATTAAAGATGAAATTAGATCAAAATGACTTATAGTACCAGGAATAGCGACAATTTGTTCTGTGTTTGTCGCAATTATAATAACGCTATTAAGCTTTCCTTCCCGTTGCTCATTGTTCTATGTAATGCATAATGGCTGTTCTATCCTGTGTCTTGCTCTTAAACGCGATTTTATCGTCATCTTAAAGAAAATCATATCTATAATAATCACTCTTCTTTGGCTTAGCTTGTCTTCCCGAATTCGTAGGACGGAGCCTAAGACTGGACTCTCAGCGTTTGCAGACCCGGACTCTATCCGCTCTATCCCTGTCGGGGCACTGCTCGTAATCAAGTACAGAATTCACGGCTTAAAAGCCCGGTAAACTATAAATTGCTAAGTTATTAACTTTTCAGACACCTATATGTGTCTATGATATGCAGTATGTATTAACAAAGAAATTCCAAGCATTTGTGGACATTCTCTTTCGCGTTTTTTTAAAGGATGAAAGACATGAAGAATATCGCAGACATCGTTGATAGATTTCAATAAGTACTTGGCTGCATACTGTAAATTTAAAACATGATTGTCCCGTGTTGGCGGTCATATACAATACTTTCACATGTATTAAAGTAACTATCAAGTGAAATACACGCATCGCTCTCTTGCTAAATGGCAGAGTAGATGAAATAAATAGATTTTATAACCGCCATGTTGAAGTTACCCCGCTTTTCTACTCAGCAATGCCCGAGAACATATAGTTATAATTGTTTTCTATGAAGACTCAATGTATGTAATTTTTTGCAATTATTTTACTTTAGCTTATGGTTTCTGATTAATCGTTATTTTTTTATCAAATTCTTGACGAATCTCCGGGATCGGAGAATCCAGTCTATATCTTCGTGATCAAAAACGTTTATCTCGACAAAATATATAATCGGGGTTCCTGTCTAACGATATAGCGACGACGCAGTTATATCCACGCACGGCGGTAAAAATAATCGTTCGAGCATGTGGAGAATTTCTGGAGCGACAGATGGTATACGCGCGGCATAGACATACAATAAGGCGTTTTTGCAAATGCAAATTATGGTCGTGAGAACGTATATTCCTTTTCGAAAATTTGCAAACTGCTTCGCGTTCTTGATGGGCCAGCATTTAAAATGGCACATCCTAGCCCTAGCTTGTATATCCCTATTCGTTACTTTTGTTGAGTGCAAGAGAAAGGAAATATCAAATATGAGGAAAAAATATTATATATTGTAGCACAGCAGAGTGTTATTTTTATCCCCATTTGTTCAGCTGTTTGACAAGATTAGTCGCTCGGCAACTTGAAATAAAATGTTATTGCGAGGTTTTGTTGATTTTGTGGCAGCGTTTGTGTCAACAAGGTGACTGGTAGATATTTACAAACGCAGACAATAACTTTTACAACATTTTTACGGTACGAAATTGTGAAAG